TGATAAACATATGAAGATGAGCAATAATCACACGCGTCCAGAATAAGTAAAAAAAATAACAATAAACATAAAGACAGTAACTGATTAACTACCAACAATCAAGAGACAATCAAGAAAAAGGGAAAAAAGTAACAGAAAAAAAAACAATCATGATAATAAAAAGATATCAATGATTTTTTTCCGCTTCCATCGAGTGATAATGATGATGATATACTAATGGTGAGAAGCGACTTGTTGATTGTGATCAACATTTTGATTCCACTTCCCGACAAAAAGCGTAACAATAAATCGTTGATCATAATGATGATTTATCAACTAGATTCAGTATCAGTTAATGAACAAAAAAAATCAACCATTTTTTTCACTATGAAAAAAAAAGTTCATCAGATTTATAAACATGATACCAAATTATGGCGATGTTGATGATGATGATGATACAATTCCGATGAGAGAATGACAATTTCATGATATTGAATCTGTTGCCCTTGATTTGATTGTTGATATATAACATTTTGTACAATATTGGATCATTTTTTCATCTTGATCATTAATCTATTGGTGAGAGTTATTAAAAAAAAATCACTGTCATGATAATAATGATAACGACAATGATATGATGATGAGGATGACACGGGAATGAGTTGCCCTTTACCTGTCAACAGTGATAAAGTTGATATGATGATAAAGATGATAACATGGTGAAGATAAGTTGATCTTTTTTATATTTACCTGAGATTTACACCTTCAGGTCAGGTTAAACGGTTCACATTGAGACAATCAACAATCAACAACTTCCGTTGTTTATGTTTAATCATCATCATGTACACATCATGTTGATCCTTTGATGTTTTTTTTTAATATTAAATATCATCTTCATCTTCATGTCATCATCATTATCATCATCAGAATCCTTTGTTTGTTTTTTTCATTGCAATTTAAATTAGTTAATCATTTGCATATCAAAACATAAGACGGAAGTTAATTGTTGCTAACATTTAATTTCCATATGTTTTTTTTGTTCAGTCAGAATTTGAAATTGTACTCATAATTTAAATTGTTAATTGTTCCTATGATAAATTGTTTAATTGTCTTTAATTGTGTATAATAAACATTAATTGTAATCAATTGTGATAATCATTGTCCACCCCTTTTACTATAACAATTTGTTACCTATATTTAAGTGCAACAATTAACATTTTCCCTTAATTGTGATCTTACTTATATTCTGTGTAATATAATCCTGACAATCAGACAATTGATTATCATCATCATATTGATTATCACAATAGTAATCAAACAAATTACAATTGAAATTATCTTTAATTCAGTTGGTGAGATTCAATTTAAACCTTTTTTTTTGTTGATTGATTGGCTTATTGTAGGAAAATATAGTAAATTGATTGACAGTCTTTATTTAAACATCATCATCAAATTTGATTGCTTCTTGATTATGATACAATATTTTTCTCAATCATGATGAAAAGATTAACAAGCAGATCATCAAATATAATTTAACAAAGGAGAAAACCTAACAAATTGAAACAATTAAAAAACAATAAAGTTCAATACAATTAAATGGACTTACCTTTATAGTAAATATGATTTCTTTGAACAATTAACTTTTCAAACATGATAATTAACTTACATGAGATGATAATTTAAATTTTCATGATATGATTATTTTTCAAATGGATAAGATTATCTCGTGTCAAGATAAATGACCATTTAAGATGATGATTAACTGACCTAACCCAAAGTTGGTCTTATTGTTGTTGAATTAATTATAACGGTAAATGAATAGTAATTAAAAACGAAAAGGTAACGTTACAATTGTAAAGTGTTTAATTGTTGTGACGATAAACAAATGATATAAACACTATGATTAAAAATCACTTGTAATTGTGAAATTGTTTCAACTTTAATTGTCCTTTTCACAATTACAATCAACAAACTAATCTCTCCACCTAATGATAACTTATCAATATGATTGAAGGTGTGAATAGATTTTGATTGTTTCAAATTAATTGGATGAAAATAAACTTCCGGATTAGTTAATCTCGTTTCTTTGTTAATTATTATCCTTTGGATATAAAAATTTTTTCTTAATTATTATCATATCTTAGAGATAATAATTTGAGTTAACTGTCAAGGATTAGTTAATCATGAATTTGATCAACAATTGTTAATCACTTGTTATATTATAACAATAAATGTGATTTCCCAATATTCAAGGTAATCATAATCATAATTAATAAATACACTTGGAAAAAATGATAATTTAATTAAAAGTAATTAATGAAAAATATCGCAGAGATTAATTAAAATGAGTTAGTGTTTCGTGTTTTTCAATTTTTCCCATACAATTAACTATCATTTTAATTTTGAGAAATTGCAAACAATTAATATTGTTAATCCATTGATTTAAAATGTTAAGATAATAATCTGATAATGAAAAATATTTCATGATATTTGATTGTTATCATCATCAATCCATATGCTACCAAAATATTGAATTGTTATCAAGGAAACCAGGTAAAAGGAAGAGCTGAAGATGATGATGATGATGTTGTTGAATATGATGAGGAAACCATGAAATCGCCATTCAGTTTGATGATTGACTGACTGACCATTTCCGTTAGGGTTAAATTACTCAGTATTTAACTTCCTCCATCATCATCATCACCTTCATCTCATGTTGAGTGACTTTTTGCATGATAACCTTTTGAAAGGTTGCAAAAGAAAGATGAAGATGAGAAGATGAGAAGATGAAGATGATTTCTGATGATGAGGGAGGTGATAGAGTGAGGTGGAGAAGGAGGCAAAAAGCTCTTAGTGGGCTCATTAGATCTCCAACAGTGGACTTTGATTATAATCCTTTAATATTTCATGAGATCTTTTTATTTGATTAAATTAGTTAAGAAAATCTCTCTCTCTCTCTCTTTCTCATCCCTATTGAGAGGCATCATCATCATTATGATGACCATCATAATGATAATAACAATTATAACAACATCTTCATCATCAGAATCATCATTATTATCACACTTACTAGGAAATAACATTTTGAAGGTCATTTAATTTTCTTAATCATTACCATTTGAGTAATTTAATTTTTTTTAGGTTTATAAGGAAATGAATGAATGAATTTGTTACCCTAAATTAAATTGTTGCTGTTGATGTTTACCTTTTAATATAACAATCAACTAATGATTGTGTGGGTTAATCATGTTAATAGTAACCTGTTGATATATAACTTATTATAAATGAAGGTAAACCGATGATTTTGAAGGTAAATATAATAAAGATGAAGATGAATCAATAATAATAATCAATTGATTCAGTTTTTCATACACTTATTGTTAACATTTGATATTGTTGATTACATTTTCATGTCTGTTTATTTACAATTTAAATTGACAAGGTTTTTTTTTCCTCTATTCACAATTAACTATCAACAACATCAACAACAACAATAGGAAGGGCGATATTTAAAATATTGACTATGATCACAATTAAATCAGTGGTCATCATAAACCATTAAGAAACAATAATCATCATCATGAAGTAAAATTATCTGATCTTTTCATGGGATTTGAGTTTCCTTTATGTTTAGCTTGGAATTATTCATTTAAAGAGATAATGATGATTCTCGAACAATTAAATTTAATTGTTCGTCTCCAATGTAATTATTCTGAGATGAGATAAAGTGGTGAAATAAAGAAAACGAAAACGAAAACTTATCGTTTACTGTTAGTTTTACGTTCTAACGATTTTCTCGAATAACGTTTTGTCATTTCAAGGAGAGTGAGAAGGAGATATGATGATGATGAAAGAAAAGGGAGGAAAGAGGAAGAAAGCGTGGGCTAGTTAGCGAATTGATGATAATACAAGCAGATGGTTAAACGATTATTCTTTTCGTTGATTTCGTTAGAACGAAACAAAAAGTTTTTCGAAGAGAAGAGAAAAAAAAAACTTATATTATATTTCCTATCGTTTCTTGTATGTTGGTTGTTTTCAATGGCGTAGGTTAAACTTGGTCAACGTTAGTAAATTGTTGCTTTTTAATCATTATTAATACTAACTGCTGATGGTGGTTTTTGTTTTCGCATTTTGATTGTTGTTGATTAAATCCTTAATCATACCTTAATTGGGAATCAGCTGAATGATTTTTCAGCTTGATTCAAGAAGGATAAATCCACTCACATTAAGTTACTCATAACGAAATGATGATGATTGTTTATCAGGGTTATCTAAATGAGTTAATAATTTAATCACAATATTGGTTAATTAATTGACTTACATTTGGATTGTAACAATTAGGATTAAAAAAAAGAATTTTTCGCAATAAGAGTTTCAGATTTGCAGTTAATTGTTGATTTCTCGGTGATAATTAGTGTATTACATGGTGATAACGATGATGAAAGAAAAGTGATAGATGATAAGAAACAGAAAGCTAGAGAAAATTGTCTGTCTTCAAGTCTCTTTCTTTTTTTCTTTCTTTTTCCTTTATCATCATCATCTTCTTCTTAAGCCAAAATTCTGACAGACCAGAATGAAGAAGAAGAAGAAGAAGAAGAAGAAGTAAAAAGAAAGAAAGAAGAAGAAGAAGAAGGTGGATGAACCTTTCTTTTTCTCTTTATTTTATCATCATCTTCTCTTTCTTTCAGAATTTTTCTCATCTTCTTATCTTCTCTTTCTTTTTCTCTCTTTCTTCTCAATTGGGAGGGTTAAGAATTAGGTGAGAAACTGGATTTTTTTGAGAAAGCCCAGGAAAGGAAAAGGTGGTCACGGATGATGACTCTTTCTTTCTTCAATAATCTTCTCTTTCTTTTTTTTACGATGGAAGATTGAACGAAAAAAGAAAGAGAACACAGAAAGAGACCGAGTGAGTAAGTGGCAAATGAAAGTAAAGAGAGAGAGAGAGAGAGAGAGAGAGAGAGAGAGAGAGAGAGAGGAATAATGAACGGAAAAATATCTTCTCACATGAATCTTTATCCCGGTTGTCAGACCAGTCGCTAGGTAAGACGTTGAGACGTTAAGACGTTTGGACGTTGATATTGTTTATGTTTATTGTTATAATATCATCTTATACATTGTGATTCTAACTACAGTTGATTGTCTTCATCATCATCTTCATATTCACCTTTTTCTCTTTCTTTCTCTCTCTTTCTTACATTATCATCTTCATCTTCATAATTTTACCATCTCTCTCTCTCTCTCTAACTCTCCCTCAACGACTACTGTAAACTTACCTGTTGCAATCATCAAACCGTTTTCATTCAACAACAGTAACAGTTTACTGTTGATAGATTATTATCTTAATAGTTAATCAGCTCTTAATCAATTCTATGGTGAATTAATCCTTTAACTCTAATGGTGTCATTTTAAATCAACTGATTATTGATTGTTTTTAATTTCTATCTCTTATTATTATCAACTGATTGGTCGCAATGGTTTGTGACTTTTGTTTACCTGTTAATCTGTCTATTGGTTAATGGATGTTACATTTAAATTGTTTCAAATTGGACACACAAATAATTACAATTTAACCGTTGACAATTTACTTGGATTACAAATCAATAATAATAATAATTATTTTCTATTACCTTACCAGCTACAACTTACTGACCATTGACCGTTACTTAGACTTGTCGTTGTAACCTAACATACGACCTGTCAACGATAATAACATTGAGTCCCTAATGGAGTACAGTTCAAGTTACAGTAATAATAAAACCAGAGGCCATCATCAACATTTATCATCCAGCTCATCATCCTGTTCATCATCAATCCAAAAATGTGATTCATCACCATCTTGTCTTATTAATAACAACCAAATAATCAATCATAATGATAACAATGGTGATACAATTAACAAGGATAATAGCAACTTATCTGATAATAGGAATAATAATCTGATGATTTTGGGTGAAAATATTGTTAATTGTAACAATAATTTATCTACGACAACAAGATCAACATGTGGATTTAATTTTTATTCATCTTCATCTCAATCGTCGATATGGTCAACTTTTTGTCGACCATCATCATCACCATCATCATCATCTTCTTCTTCTTCTTCTTCTTATTCTCTACATTCATCATATTCAGTACCACGAATTTCAACTTTAATTGTTACCCTGTTTCTATCTTTGAATTATCTATTTATTATCTCCTCCATTCCAAGTGTGTCCGCTCAATATCGGCCCAAATGGCCTAGTCCAATAGTTCAAAGAGAGATATTTCTTCTTAACCTCGAAGATGGTTATTTTGGTTGCCAAGTCAACGAATCGACCGATTTCCTACAACTTTTTGAGCTTTCCAAGCTCTGTGATGGTTTACCTCAGTGTTTTCTTGGTTCTGATGAGTTAGCACTTGAGCTCAAATGTGGAGACAGAAGTAAGTAAACCGATAGATCACCAAATCGATTCATTTTATTGATTCATTGATTACAATTCAAATATTGCCAATATATACAAGCTAATGTTCATTGACCATTCTTGGTGAATTTCCAATTGCTTATATCATTAGATTCTGATGGTTTACCTGTTTGTCTTACGGAAAAATTTCTAATTAATTCAGTCTCTCTTTTCATTACCTTTGATTTTTTTCCAATTAATTACCTTCCAATTAACTCGTAATGATTATATTTCTTCATGTTATTAGAAAATTTCATTTCAATTTCTAACATTTTCTTGAAACACAGTCTGAATTTCAATTAGTTCAATTCTTAATGTGACAATCGTTTTTTATTTACCAATGTTAATTTGTTTCGATAATAATTAACTTTTTGATTACTTAAGTTGATCATCCTTAAGGTTAAACTTTGTTTTCAATTTTCTCACTCATTGAAACTTCATGTGATTTCAGATTCATGATATTCAATTTTCTAGTTACCAGTAAACTAATACATGATTATTGTATCATCATCATCATCATCATCCTCTTAAACTTTCAGGTACAAGAGTCAAGGTAAGAAAATAAGTTTACCAGGTAAAATTTATGATTCTCCGAAATATTTTTGAGTTCCGTTGATAATTCTGGGTTCCTCTGAGCCAAAACTAATTAATCTATCGTCATTATCATCATAATGATAATGTAAATGATTATCATGATATTATCGAATTTTTTTATCTTCTTTTCTTTTTTTCTCTCTTTACTTTGCAGGAAAAAAAAAGAAGAAAAGAAAAGAAAAGAAGAGCAACAGGTTACCTGTTTAACTTTTCATTCTGTTGATTATTCACTCTGTTTTCTTTTCCATTCATCATGAAAAATCAACAGAACAAGAAGAATAGGAAAAAACAGAAAGCAAACACTTTATTATCATGAAGATTCTGAGAAAGTCTGAACTTGAGCGATTCACCTTGATCACCAAATTATTCATTTCTGATTGATAGTTAAGCTCATAATTAGAACCCAAAAAACACCATTTACTTTACCGTAAACGCCTTCGATTTGTTGTCTCTACCTTTTCGAATCGACATTCGAGTGTTTTTTTTTCGTGGTCTTTCGTTAATCTGTTTCCAATTTTGTTCCGATTTTCGTATTTGGAATTACTAACAATTCGATAACCTTGTCAGAATGATGGAGACGATAAATCAATGAGAAATTAGCTCATTCTTGCTGTATAGTTGTGGGTTTATGACTGGAATATCTTGAGTACGAATGAGATCACATTATATCGAATAGGATTATGTAGATTAAGATTTGGGGGGGAAGAATATGAGGATAATGATAATGATGATATTTTCCATTGTTATTACAATATTCTCTTTGGAAAATGATCAATGTAGACATTTTAGAATTTTCTTCCTCTTCTTCTTCTTATTCTTCTTCTTCTGGTAAAGAAATTGATGCGTGTGTGTGGTCACCTCCCCTTCTCCCCCAAGGCAATATCATCCCAACAACAACCTTGTTCCCTTTTCTATCTTTCTCTTCTTATTTTCATCAATTCTCCCTCTCCTTTCACTTTCTTTCTTTATCTCCATCAGCTTCTGTTCATCATCATCATCATTATAATCCAAAAAAAGAGAAACCCTACAATTTTTACCTTTGGAGTTTCATCTTTTTTTATCAATGTGTATGTTACACAATCAACATCACTTTACAAAGAAAAAGATAAAAAAATCTCAGAATATCTGAAAATGGAAGAGAGAACGAAAGAGAGAGCGAAAGAGAGAGAGAGAGAGAGAGAGAGAGAGAGAGAGAGAGAAATGGATTGGAAGATAATGAAAGAAAAGATTAGACAATTTAGACAAAAAAAGTCTTAACCCAAACATCAACCGAAGCAATTGTGTTAACATCAATCCTTGATATTTTCTCTCTCTCACCTGAAACTTTCTTTTCATCATCATCATCATCATCTACTGTCTATTCTCTCTGTCTATGTAATCATCACCATCATCATCGTCTTTCTTTTCTTTCTCTTCCTTTTTTTTTCTCATTCCTCAATTCTGAGGAATCAAATGTTTCGTTTCTCTTTTTTTCTCTTACCTTTTCTTCATCTTCTCATGTGTGTGATTTTCAAAGATGTTGATCTTTTTTTTTGTTCCATCATGGAAGAAGAAGAAAAAAACTCCAATGAAACCAATAATTTTCATCCTCATCCTTTTCCATCATCATCTCACCTTGAAAGATGATGAGAAGATGATAATGAAAGAAACAAAATCGATGATAAAAAAGAAGGAAAAAAAAAATTTCTTTTCTCTTTTTTCTTACCTTCACTTTGTTACTAATTTAAAACTATTATAATTATCACTTTCTTTAATCATTACAATTTAACTTGATTGTTATTATTATAAATGTTATTTAAATTCCTATTTACAACTTTGTTAATTTGATAAATTGTTACAGGAGGAGGAAAATTAATTTCCAATTGAAAACAGCCAATCCTTAATCTGTGAATCAATTTATCATTTGTAAAATTGTTGCAATTAACTAATTACACTACTAAACATTGATGGGAATGATTGATTCAATTTCCAAATATCAATTGACTTAATTTACTATCTCATAAATTAAAGATCCTCTTTGATTGTTCAAATAAACTGATAGAAATTGAATTGATTGTTATTATTAACATTTTTGTATTCGAGAAAATTTCAAAAGTTATGACAACTTTTAAGTGTCTTCGTTGGGACGAAAACTTTTTTTTCATTTCATTTCGTTTCGCAATTAAAACCAATTGTAAATTTCGTTGGCGTTTAGTTAACATTGAATTTTGCTAATTCCTATTTAGGATTAGCGTTTCTCTTAACACTCAATGTTATTATTATTTAGTAATCAATACCACGCATTGTCTTTGAACTAAATTAACTTGATTGTCAATATTATTATTACTATTAAATGAGAAACAAGAGTTAACTGTTATTCATTTTAAATGAAAGTGGGTAAATTGTTGATTAATGAAAAAGGAAACTGAACAATTTAATTCCCATTCACAATTTAGTTAATCATGATAATAATACAAGTTTTATACTTGTATGTGTGTGTATACAGTTTATTTTAATCATCATTATCAATTTCACATGATACATGATAATCATGATGATGATTAAGACTGATTATTATTATTATATTACATAATGATGATGAACAATTTAAAATGATGATGAGAATTAGGTAAACATTGAATTGAAATTGAGATTAACAATTAACCAGATTAACCTCAAGTATTAATTTTCACTTTCACATTGAAAGAAAATAAATTAAATAATGATAACAATTAATTAGATTGCTTGTTAGTAATTATCATTTGTATTAATATAATTGATTTTTTAATCATTTGATTATATATACAATGATTAACAATCAAATATTATCAAGTGATAGACAATTAAAGTGAAAGTTTTACCTAAATTAAGTATGGTAACAATTTAGATGATTAAAGTATTATAATGACAATTAACTTTCTCTTGTCTCGCTTTTTTTTTGTCCACCATTAAACAGCAACAATCAACTAAGTAAAATTAACTAGAAATTGGATCACAATTTACTTGATTGTAATGATTAAATCAATAGTAGTTTTATATTAGAAACAATATAAAAAAAAAAGGTAAACCCAATCACCCAAAAGTAATCAAAAGTAAATCAAAAGTTTAATCAATTCAATGGACTTTTTTTCCCCTTTCATTTAATTGATGTTAGTTGATTTAATCAGTTGATTGTAATACAGGTTAAGCCTTAGGGTCGAGATCATCAACATTTAGTTGACAATTAAAGATTAGTGTTAATGATTAAATTTGATGTTGTCACAATTGTTGATTATCATTGTATTATACAAGATTTTCACTTGATTGTTGTATTAGCTTCTGATGATGCTACCTGTTAAATCACTCTTGAGTAACAATATACAGTTGGGTGACCTCGCCTGACGATCATCATCAGAATGGGAATCATGATGATGACGATGAAGATAATGATGAGTATCAAGGGATAAGTCAAGTAATACAACAATCAAATAACATTTGACAACGTTTTCCTTGGATTACTCTGCAATTTTCACACCAAAGTGAAAAAAAAACATCAGATGTGAAAAAAAACAAGAAGATGTAACAAGGAAAATCTTGTTTTCCATCATCATCATCATCATCACAATAATCATCATCTTCTCCATCACTATGGTTACAATTATCACTCTATGTTAATTGTATCATTGATAATATTAATGCAATGAAATGTTATCTTTTGTGAAATTTTCGATGATAATCACTGAGATTATTCATTTCATAAGATAATGAATGAAATGATATCACTTAACTAGAAAATTATTATATTAGAATTAATTTTTAAAATACGAAATTTGCACACCATTGGTCAATGGTTTGTCCAAAATCAATTATTTTTCGATTTTTATATTTTTGTTACTTTTTTCTTTCGATTGATGCTAAATCATAATCCTATCCCTTAGAACAACAAAATAATAATTAATTGAAAATTACCTTTTTTTCATCATTTTTTTGATACCTTTTATTAATTAACATGGGTGTCTATGGGAATTTTTATCAAAAAAGGTGTTAATTAGTAAAAAGTGATGAAAAAAAGGTAATTTTCAATTGATTATTATTTTGTTGTTCTAAGGGATAGGATTATTATTTTAGCATCAATCGAAAGAAAAAAGTAACAAAAATATAAAAATCGAAAAAAATAATTGATTTTTTTGGACTAAGGCCATTTTCCGACCAATGAAAAGTGTACCCAAAAATTTCGCGAATTTTCCATATTTTTAAAAATTAATTCTAATTAAATTAATAATTTTTTTCCTAGTTAAATTTGATATCATTTCATTCATTAGAGTCTTATCTATTTAATGAATAAAATAATATCTCAATATACTGACTGGTTCTCGAATTATCATCAAAAGAAAAAAATTTTCTTCAAAAGTGCCATTTCATGTGCACATACCTAATACTTATAGTTGATATCATCAACATTTCTTACCTTTCACTTTACCATCAATGGTGCTCTTGAAAATTAATCATTTACAATCAACAATTATCATTAAATATATACACAACTATTAATATTAATGATGATGATGGTGATAATGATAATGATGATAACTTTGTTAATATTATTATCATTATGATAATCAACGTTTGTATATAATAATAATATGGTTTAACTTGATTATCATCAGTATTTAAATGATCAAGTTAACTCATTTAAATTAAATTTAATCATCAATGTTAATACTGTAAACCAACAATTAACTTTTTATTATATATATTTTCCTCCCTAAATATAATTTAATTAATCAGCTGATTTGTAAGCTATTTGCGTGTTTATATTAATAATAATAATATAAACAAAGAGAAACTTAATCAGCTGATTGTTGATAGTAAAAGTTAAGGGAAATTATTTCAACCAAACTAATTACAATTTACTGTCACTCGTAAATGTGATTTGAATAGTTAACTGGTTTTCCAACTAATCAACTAACTGAAACAAAATAATCAGTTACTTTTCATGATGATGATCATGATCATTTCAAATGGTTGGTAAAATATTAACCCGAAGGTGCTACTTGTTGATTATTACTATGATTCATTCATGATTATTGATCAAATGAATTTAATTTGTTTATGATGATGATTAGATTCAGTTAAATCGTTGACTTTAATGGTAATCAGTCAGTTAATTTATTCTTGTCTACGTTTTTTTTCCTTCTCCAGGTAAATGTTGATTTTTTATATTCTTATTGCTTAGTGAATGTAATGATAATATAACTTACCTGTTGAAATCTCTCTCACATAGAAATGGAAAGTAAAATGATAATGATGAAGATGAAGGATGAAAAGAGAGAGAAAAAAACAAAGATGAGAAGATGATAATTCTTGAAGATGATGATGGTCATCAAAAAAGGTCAAACAAAAGGTCAAAAAACATGAACAATAATAATAGTGGACATACCAAGAGAAGCGACAAAACTGGATTTAGACAATTGTCATTGTAATAGTTGTTGTAATTAACAGAAATTGACATTAATTGTAATCATAATGATGATGGTTAATTAAGGTTTTTTTTGTGCTCTTTCAGCTTGGCTACTTATTTAAATTTCGTAATCATTTCCAATTGTAAATCACAAACCAAGTTGTTTAATCAATGAATCAATATTTTTGTCTATTCACCTTTTTGATTTTCATCTGATTTCTGATTGAATTTTTTTTTCCTCTTGTTGATTAAATTGTCAACAATTAACAGATCACTGCCATCCAAAGATGCCAAAATGTATTAATGGTGCTTGCCTAGATAACCTTTGTCACTGTAACGATGGATTTGGTGGCAAAGGGTGTGACCTGCCAGGTAAGTTTACACGACTGATTTACCTGTTTAATATTAGTCATATTTGTTAAGTTTTCTTGCGTAAAAGCGGAAGTTGATAGTTTGTTAGATGTAAGATGTTTGGGTGGGGATGTTGTTGTTGATGATGATGATGAGAGAGAGAGGGAGGTGTAGCTTTTAAAGTGATGAGGATGTAAAGATTGTATCCCTTTCTTATCTTCCTTCCTCTCCCTCCCTCTCTCTCTCTCATTCTTACCTGAGATAAAACTAAAGACACATATTGATTATACTAATTAAAGGTCACGGTTGTAAATTTCAAGGTTATTTTATATTCTTATTCATAGTTGATTATTTATTGTTATTAATTTGATTTTACAGATGAAAATGAATGTAAATATCGACCTTGTGATGTTTTCGCACATTGTACCAATACACTGGGCAGTTTTTACTGTACCTGTAATCCTGGTTATGAAGGTGATGGATTCACTTGCCATGGTGAGTAAATTGATAACAATCAGATTGAACGATCAGATTGAAACGTTCATTGAATCACAATTTAATTGTTCATCTCTCTCTTTTTTTTTGCTTCCCAATTGGACAGATACAAATGAATGTGAAGTACCCGCTTTAGCTGGACTATGTGCTGATAACGCTGAATGCTGCAATCTTCCAGGTCACTTTTCATGTAAATGCAAAGAAGGTTTCACCGGAAATGCAACCGAATCATGTTTTGGTGAGTTTCTGATACTTCCGAAAAGTATAAACATAAAACAATTCTGTCCATTTGAAATTACCTTCTCAGTTTTATAGTGGTCATTTTATAATCATTATTATCATCCTAATGATAATCATCTCTTGATTTATCCTTGACCTTAGTTTTAATAACGATAATAATGATAATAATAATAATATATAAAACTAACTGTTTAATTTGAAACGTGAACGGTTAGAGGTCAAAATAATTCATTGAATCTTTTGTTTTGTAACGATAGATGTTGATGATGATGATGATGATGGTCATCACGATGAGATGTGTCTATGATTAAAGTGGTTTAGAAATGATTTGAAATGATTCAATGATGATGATGATTATTATAAGTAATGAGAATCAAATTGAACCACCAGCATCATCATCAAGATGATAAACATGAAAATAATAGGAAGAGTATATTATTATTATCATTACTTTCATTTTGAATTGAGTAACAATTTAAATCAGAACATCAATTTAATGTATCATCATCATCATCATCATCATGTACAATTAATGTTAAATTGAAGCCTACAATTGGATTGGATTGTATTGTTACCCTCTAATTGTTGCAAATAAACAAAAGATTTAATAACTTTCTCAATCTAATCCATGTGATTCACTAATTATCAAGGAAAACGATTAAATCCTTTCAGCAATTTTGTTAACTAATTTACCATCTAGATGATTAGACAAATACCTTTGAACGAGAAGATAAATCATTTCAACAACAATTAAAGTGTAAAATTAATACTACACATGAGATAAATCAATTGATCATTTATCCATAACGAGCAACTAACAAATTATATATATATTATCTGAATTGTTCAGTTGATTAATTGCTAATTGTCACAATATATAAATTTCCAAGTGACAAAGAAACAAATGATAATGATGATGATAAATTTATTTAATTTTCTTCTAATTATTTAAACTCTTCCTCTCATTAGATATTGATGAATGTGCTGATTCAAGTACTTGCGGTCGAGGTGCTGAATGTCACAATACACCCGGTGGGTATTCATGCCATTGTCCCGCTGGTTTCACTGGAAATCCAACCAAGGAATGCTGGGGTATGCATATAATACTATTATCATCTTATTTTCTTATATAATTATATCAGAAAAAAAATAATAATAATAATGACTTCCAGTCGTCATCATCATCTCTTTTTCCTGTCTTAAAAAAAGTGTCATCATCATCCCGACACAATAGCAGCAATTAAATTAATAACAAGATATGAAAGTGAATATAAAAATATATAATATATTTTTAATTGTTGATAATAATATAATGCTGATGATGAGGTTTATCATTTATTACAATCACCATCATCATTAAGGTGATACCGTCAGGTAGTAAAATGATGATGATGATGGTGATGAGAAATAGCAATGATAATATAATATAATATATATAAAAAAAGAGAATTAGATTTAATTATGATTATTATAATTATGGAATTAAAAAAAAAAGATAGTAAATTAGATTCCATGTTATTTCAAGTTCCGTTATACTTGCACCTAGGAAATTGATGATTGTGATAAAATTAAACGACCTGACAGTTAATATCATCTTGATGATGGTGATGATGATTATCATTTGAAATGTGTTAATGATTAATTCTGATTCTGAGACCATGAAAATAATGGGATAACAATAATTCATCTCATGATATTAATACTTTCAAGGTGAATTGAAAAGGTAAAGGTATCTAACCTTTTATGAGAAATTTTTTTTTCTATTTGATAGTTATCATCATCATTACCATGTTCACTTGTAACGGACATCATGATGATTGAAGTTATTACAGTCTTTCCGACCAAAAAGAAACAGTTTCCAACGAGCAAGAAACGGGGGCGGGGAAGATTTTATGACCGTCCGGTCTTGACCCCCTTTTTTACGACTTTACAACTTAGAGGGAACACTTTGCAAGCGACGAGAAACAGTTTACATTTTAGGTGAAACAGTTTGATTTACAAACATTGAATTCGTGGTTTTCTCAATTACTAATTAAAAAATCACCATGAATTGATTGACTATTGACTTTTGCTACTCTACCAGCTTTTTAAAATTCAATATTCAGCTCTCGTTTTTATTGATATATCTAAAGCTGTTTCGTTTTATCGTTTAAGTTTATTAATCACTAGAATGATGATCAAAATTAATTAATTAATCTGAGTAGTAATTGATAATGTATAATATCAAGACAAATGAATCGTCGTGATCGTTCAGGATTGAGTTAGACAAGAGAAAATCTTATCTCGTTGAATTGTAAGACTATTGAGAGAGAAATGATGATGATGATGATTAGAAAAGTAACAATAAGTTAGATGGAAAATCATTGTTGCAAGAAGAAAATGTTTGATGATAAAGATTAAGATGAAGATAAAAAGATGAAGATAATCGGTTGATGTAGATAAAGACAGAGAATGAGTGAGATCGTTGGATTGATAGAAAATCTGTCATCAGAACTTTGGCACGACTTTTCAATCAATTCTATCAAATCACATTAGAACTTTTGTTAGAAATCATTTTCAAATTATTCTCTCTCTCTCTCTCTTTTATCTTCCAATTCGCAATAATGTTACTCTCATTTTCATCTTCTTCTGGTCTGAACATTTCTTCTTCCTTTTTCCTTTATCAATCATCTTCGTCTTGAGTACGTTGACATCGTAATCATTTTGATGATAGAAAACATTTTATCCTCATCATCTTTTTACTTTGAGAAAGAATAACAAAATAATCTTAATTTACAACAATTGTCATCAACCGGAAATAGTTAAATATAAATCATAAGAAATTGTATCAAACAAACAAAAAGAAACTTTCATGTTAAAGTAGATTTAGAATTAGTTAATTACTATACTAGTAGTTAATAATTGTTCAACAATTAACATTAATTTTTCAACCTGTTTTCTTTTTTTAAAATTAGATGATAATTAACTGAATTTGTTGAACAATTACTTAGATTCATTCAAATCAATATGATGAACTTTTTTCCTGAAAAATTTTCAATGGAAATTGAAAGTTTTCAAACTATTAATAATATGAATTGATAATCTCTCAATTACTGAATAATATAACAGTACAATTATTGGTAAAATGAACAATTATCATTATATCAGGTAAAAGCACTTTCTTGAAAAGGTCGGTGTCACGATAACCATACAAGAGTAACAAAAATATACTACAAGGTACATGGATTTTTACAGGTAAATGAAACAAAAAGATTCACAATGAAATGATTACTATTCATTTGGGAATTCAAATGAGCATGAAAATTATCATGATTGATATTTTTTTTCTTGTTTCTTTTTGTTGGGTATCGTTATTGTTTCCAATTTACCTGTTGCCTCTTGATTATGGTGATAATGATGATGACAATGATGATGATGATTAGTGTTGATTATATTTCTGTGAATGATGATAATGTAACTCTGGTGTTGTGTGTATTGCTATGTATCAATTTTAGGCCAATTTCAATGTCAACTTGAATTCGGAGTTTAATTTTGTTTTTGTTTTCTCTTTGTTTCCATTTTCATTTAATTTGCCAACGATTTTTTTGGTTGATTACAATTGATTTAGATATTGATGAATGTAAATCAAGCGTGTGCGGTGAAGGAGCCATATGTACCAATCTACCTGGTAGTTATGAGTGTACCTGTCCAACCGGTTTCAAGGGTGACCCTAAAGCTGAGGCGGGTTGTGTTGATGTGGACGAATGCAGTCAAACAGATCGTCAACTTTGCGGCACTAATGCAAACTGTGTTAATACCGCTGGAGATTATTTCTGTCAATGTCCTCAAGGGTATACAGGTAACGCCAGAATCTCATGCATAGGTAAGTCTCTCATTATATTAATTTGTTTTCCCTTCTATTGTCACTCTCACTCTCTCTCTCTAAATTACTATCAACACCTACCTGATAACCATTATCATCTCTCAATTTCACTAAATTACGTTAACAACATCAATTTGATTGTAATTGTAATTTATTTCAATTCCTTTACAAGTCGATGATTATTGATTATCAGTTATGTTGATTGGATTTTGATTGTTACTTATTGGAATGATTTATTAAAATTGTTTGTTCCCTGTCTCTTTGCTTACGCTTTGTAATTGTTTAGATGTCGATGAATGTAAATTAAATGTTTGCGCTGAAGGAACCATTTGTACCAATCTACCAGGTAGCTATGAGTGTACCTGTCCGGTTGGTTTTCGAAGTGACGCTAAATCGGAAACGGGCTGTGTCGATGTTGACGAATGTAGTCAAACAGATCAACGTAAACAACTTTGCGGTACAAACGCAAATTGTGTTAACACTGTTGGTGATTATTTCTGTCAATGCCCTCAAGGGTACACAGGTAATGCAAGGATCGCATGTACAGGTAAGTCCTTAGTATTATCATAATTGTGTTGACTTTTTCTGTTCTCACATGAAAACGATATTATCACATCATCATCATCATCATTATCATCATTTATTTAATACAAATTATTTGTTTACCTTTCAGATATTAACGAATGCGCTACAAACGCTTGTGGACTCAACACAATTTGTACCAATATTCTTGGAGGTTATAACTGCCAATGTAAACCAGGATTCACGGGAGATGCGTTTCTATCAGCTGGTTGCACAGGTAATTAGTCCAAGATGAAGATGATGATGAACAAGATGAAGATTATTTTTCTTCCTTCATCTATTTTTCCATCTTATTGTCAGTTTCCATCTCCATCCAATTCCCAATCTTAGATATAGTTTTTTTCCTCTTCACGTTTGTTTGATCTTCAACTATTATCTCCATCACCGTCATTAAATAATAAGCAATTGACAGGTTTTCATTTTTTTCTCTTCTTTCAATTTCGAAAAATAATTCACTATATAAACATACAACTTGTTGATACGCATCATTTTGCCTCACAATGGTACATCCTCTCTCTCTCTCTCTCTCTCTCTCTCATTCGCTCTCATCCTCCCTTTCATATTTACTCACCCGCATCTTGTTTTTACTCTTAAAATCACCGCTCCTGATTGATCACTTTTCTCATAAATAACATTTCTTTTTTTTTACTTCTTCTCCCTTATTAGATATTAATGAATGTATTTTTGGTCCTAAACCTTGCGGTGGTAATACTAGTTGCGTTAATACCGATGGTGCCTACAAGTGTATTTGCCTTGAGGGTTTCATTGGTAATCCAAAGAAAGGATGTAAATCACCTTGCGAAGGAATCACTTGTAGTGCTCACGCATCTTGCCAGGTTAAGAGTAACGAAGCGGCTTGTGTATGTGACGCTGGTTATACTTACGATCCGAATAATATTTCATCGGGTTGTGTTGATATTAATGAATGTGCCGCTGGACCTTATGGACTTTGCGGTGAAGGCGCTATTTGTATTAATACAATTGGTGGCCATCAATGTAAATGTCCACTTGGTTATACGGGTGATCCTTTCACTTTCTGTGAGCCCGGTTGCTTGGAAGATAAAGATTGTCCATTAAATCAAGGCTGTGTCAATGAACAATGTGTCGACCCGTGTGCGTCCAAAAAGGCCTGTGGCATTAATGCCGTTTGTCTGGTTGAATATCACAAGAAAGTTTGCTCCTGTGGACCTGGAACTGAAGGAAATGCACGAATTGAATGTACCCGCGAATCAATTTTCTGCGAGAATTCAAATGACTGTGAAAACGGAGCACTTTGCGAGGCCAATATTTGCCGATCTAAATGTGGCTCAGACAACGAATGTTTTGATAACGAGAAATGTGCCGATGGAGTTTGTACCAGTACTTGTAAAACCGATGAAACTTGTCCATCAGGTTTCGTCTGTGAACTTGGTCAGTGTAGAATTGGTTGCAGATCGAGTAACGAATGTCCATCCACTTCTGCTTGTATTAATCGTAAATGTATTGATCCTTGCGCTTCAAGATCGGCCTGTGGTACTAATGCCATTTGTCGAGTTGATAATCATGAAAAGATTTGCTCATGTAAATCTGGAACTGATGGAAATCCAAGGATTGAATGTACCCGACAATCGCTTTTCTGTGAGAACGCAAATATTTGTGGAAAAGATGCCATTTGTGAGGCCAATGTTTGCCGATCGAAATGTGATTCCGATGATTCCTGTCTTGTCAACGAGAAATGTGCCAATGGTTTGTGTACCACTACTTGTTCAAATGACGACTCTTGTCCTCCTCGATTTGTCTGCGAATTTGGTCAATGTCAAACGGGTTGTAGGTCGAACAACGAATGTCCATCTTCATCTTCATGTCTAAATCGTAAATGTATCGATCCTTGCGCTTTGAAAACCTCTTGTGGTACCAATGCCATTTGTCGATGTGAGAATCACGAAAAGATCTGCTCATGCAAACCTGGAACTGAGGGTAATCCACGAACCGAATGTATCCGTCAATCTCGTTTCTGCGACAGTTCTAACGATTGTGGTGATCGAGCCGTTTGTGAGGCCAATGTCTGTCGATTCGAATGTTATAATGATGCCGAATGTTTCGATAATGAAAAATGTTTCGAAGGTTTTTGTACCAGTACTTGTAAAACTGACGAATCTTGTTCTCTTGGTTTCGTTTGTGAACTTGGTCAATGTAAAACTGGCTGTCGGTCCGATAACGAATGTCCAACAACCGCTTCATGTATTAATCGTAAATGTATCGATCCTTGTGCTTCCCGAACAGCCTGTGGTACTAATGCCGTTTGTCGAGTTGATAATCACGAGAAAAGCTGCTCTTGTAAACCAGGAACTGAAGGTAACCCGCGAATCGGATGTACCCGACAATCGCTGTACTGTGAGAACTCTAATGCCTGTGGAAATCGAGCCATTTGTGAGGCCAATGTTTGTCGATTCGAGTGTTATAATGAAAACGATTGTTTCGATAACGAAAAATGTTCAGATGGTTTTTGTACTTCTTCATGTAAAACTGATGAATCTTGTCCCGGTGGTTTCGTTTGTGACGCAGGTCAATGTAAAACTGGTTGTCGATCGGATAAAGAATGTCCATCTTCTGCCGCTTGTATGAACCGAAAATGTATCGATCCTTGCGCTTCCAAAACAGCCTGTGGTGCGAACGCAATTTGCCGATGTGAAAACCACGAAAAGATTTGCTCATGTAAACCTGGAACCGAGGGTAACCCAAGAATCGAATGCGTTAGACAATCGAGCTTCTGTGAAAGTTCAAGCGATTGTGGAAATCGAGCCATTTGCGAGGCCAATGTTTGCCGATTCGAGTGTTACAATGACGCTGAATGTTTCGACAATGAAAAATGTGCCGAAGGTTTTTGTACATCTTCTTGTAAGACTGACGAAGCTTGTCCTCCTGGTTTCGTCTGCGAATCGGGTAAATGTAAAGCGGGTTGTCGATCTGATGTCGAATGCTCATCTACTGGTGCCTGTATGAACAACAAGTGTATCGATCCTTGTGCTTCCCGAACCGCTTGTGGTACCAATGCCATTTGTCGAGTTGAGAACCACGAGAAAATCTGCTCATGTGGACCTGGAACTGAGGGTAATCCAAGAATTGAGTGTATCCGTCAATCGCGTTTCTGTGAAAGTTCAGATGATTGTGGAAAAGGAGCTCAATGTGATGTTGATGTTTGCCGATTCGAGTGTAATGGTGACGAGGGTTGTTTCGATAACGAAAAATGTGCCGACGGTTTTTGTACATCCTCATGTAAAACTGATGAATCTTGTCCTCCTGGTTTCGTCTGTGATTCAGGTCAATGTAAAACTGGCTGCCGATCCGATAACGAATGTCCACTTTCCAAGGCTTGTATGAACCACCGATGTATCGATGTCTGTGGATCACCATTCGCCTGTGGTACCAATGCAAAATGTACCGCAATCAACCATTCACCTTGGTGCACTTGTCCACCTCGATTCACCGGTAATCCTCGCTTAGAATGTAAAAAGATTGAGTGTGTTTCAGACGCTGATTGTGCCACATCAACGATCTGTATCAACTATAAATGCGTCTCAGGCCTAAATAGTACCACTTGCCGATTAGATGCTGGCTGTCGAAATGAACCTCCTCCTCAATGTAACCATGATTCTGAATGTGTTTTAGGTCAAATCTGTGAGAACGCTCAATGTATCGGCGGCTGTCGCCATGATAACAATTGTCCCGAAGACAAGGCTTGTATTAACACCGCTTGTGAGAATCCATGTTTACTGCCCAAGGCTTGCGGTCACAATACCGTTTGTCAACCTTACCAACACCGACCTCGATGTGAGTGTCAACCCAATTTCCGTGGTAATCCATTTACCGGTTGTGATCCAATTCCCGATGATTATTGTGACGCTGATTCGTCTTGCCCGTTGGGTAAAATTTGCGAGAACAATAAATGTCTCGATGGCTGTCGAAATGATGGAAATTGTAAATTCGAAGATGTTTGTATTAATAAGGTTTGTACGAATCCATGTTCGATCTATGGTGCCTGTGGTAATAACGCGATCTGTAAGCCAACCAATCACGATCGAGTTTGTACCTGTAAACCTGATCACACGGGAGATCCAAAGATTTCCTGTGAACGAATTCGACCTCCACCTGAGTGTTTAGACGATAAACAATGTCCACTTGAACATATCTGTCAGAATACTCATTGTGTTCGTGGCTGCCGTGATTCTATTGACAATTGTCCAACCGATAAAACTTGTATTCGAGGAAAATGTATCGATCCATGTTCAACTTCGGGTTCTTGTGGTGAAGGTGCTATTTGTTCACCAGCTAATCACGTAGCTGTTTGCTCTTGTCCGTCCGGTTTTCGAGGTGACCCTGATGTTGAATGTCGCGAGATTCCACCCGAATGTCGATATGATGCCGATTGTGGTCTTGAGAAAATTTGTCTCAAACAAAAGTGTATCACTGGTTGTCGAACTCACTCCAATTGTCCATTCGATAAAGCTTGTTTCAATGGTCATTGTCAAAGTCCATGTAATATTGGAGGTATTTGTGGTATTAATACAATTTGTCGAGCGGAAAATCATGAAGCTCAATGTACCTGTGTTTCTGGTTACACGGGTGATCCACTTCGCCAGTGCACTAAGATTCACGTTGAATGTGAAACTGATCTTGATTGTGGTCAAGGTTACGTTTGTGCACAACAAAAATGCCGAGATATCAATGAATGTTTACAAGAAGTACTTCCCTGTGGCCCCGGGGCATCGTGTCAAAATTTACCAGGATTCTTTAAATGTTCATGTCCACTTCCCTTGGTCGGTAATGCTTACAGTAAAGAGGGATGTCGTCAACCTGTACCAATATGTTTCCATGATGCTGATTGTAAAGATGATCAAAAATGTAACCCAGTAACCCAAGAATGTTATGGTAAGTTAATTGTTGACGAAATTTTCGAATTCGACTAATTATTAATCAATTTTCTTTTCTCTTGATTTCTTATTTTTTTCCTAATTTCTCTAGATGTTTGTACTAAATCTGGAATATGTGGTAAAGGTGCTTTATGCCGATCATTAAACTCCAAAGCCGAATGTGAATGTTTACCTGGACATCGGGGAAATCCTTATGTTGAATGTTCAATTCGTGATTCCTGTTCATTGCCCTCTGATTGTCCAGGTAATTTACTTTGCCTTGGGCAATATTGTGGTTGCCCTTATCCATACGAGCAGAGGTCATCTTTCTGTGTCCTTTCAAGTCTTAATTGTACCACAACGAATCCCTGTCCAAATGATCAAACCTGCATCTATGATGGTCAAGGTGATAAAACTGGTTATTGTGCTTGTCCAAAGGGTTACATGATGACCCTTGAAGGTACTTGTCGGGATTACAATGAGTGCGAGGAAAAAGCTTTCCCATGTGGACCTGGTGCTAAGTGTATGAATAAACTTGGTTCATACGATTGTCGCTGTCCAACTGGTACTTTAGGTGATCCATTTGTCGCTGGTTGTTTAACTGAACAACAATTGAAACATTGTTTCCATGATTCTGATTGTCCGGATGATCGTTCGTGTATTGAATTTGAATGTCGCGATTCTTGTCTAACCTCTAACAATTGTGGACAAAATGCCATTTGTTACATGGAGGGACATCGACGAAAATGTAAATGTCGACCTGGTTTCTCTGGTAATCCAACGGAAATTTGTCGACCAATTGCCGATTGTGTCACCGATTCGGGTTGTCCAGGTAATTTGGCCTGTCTTCGTGATCATCGGTGTGGTTGTCCTCTTGAATTCAATAGGGTTCTCGATTATTGTGTACGATTTAGTTACAATTGTTCAACAACCAATCCATGTCCAGATAATCAAGAATGTATCTATTCGGGCACCGAATCGGGTTTCTGTGTTTGCCCTCGAGGGTTTACCCTTCGTCCTGATGGTGTTTGCGATGATATCAATGAATGTAACGAGAAAAATATCTGCGGTCCTCATGCCTCTTGTGTTAATCGACTTGGTACTTATGAGTGTCGATGTGCCGCTGGTTATCAAGGTGAAGATCCTTATCGAGACGGTTGTACCTTAATGTCCAAAGAACCACCGGGATGTTTAAGTGATCAAGATTGTCCGTCAACCAAGAAATGTGATTTCTCTAATGGTCAATGTTTCGATCCTTGTACAACTCGAGATGAAAATCGTTGCGGTGCAAACGCACTTTGTTCAACATCTAATCACATTGTCTCGTGTTCTTGTCCATCCGGTTTCGAGGGTAATCCAAATAAACTGTGCTCACCAATTCGTGAGTGCGGTGTAACTTATCAATGTCCAGGTAACTTGGTTTGTCTTAATAGTCGAACCTGTGGTTGTCCGTCAAATTACAGTCGCGAAAACGATTACTGTTTAATACGAAGTCAAAATTGTACCACTACCAATCCATGTCCACCAAATGAGGAATGTGTTTACACTGGAGTTCGAGCGGGATTCTGTATCTGTCCACATGGGTACGAACTTACACCTCGAGGGGAATGTAAAGAGATACCAGTTTGTGCGAGAGACAATCCTTGCGCTCCAGGTGCTATTTGCCGCGATCAACCTGGTTCATATGTTTGTATCTGTCCCGTTGATACGATTGGTGATCCTTATGTTAAGGGTTGCGATCAAGTTTTCGGCTGTCAAACCAATTCCGATTGTCCATTGGATAAAGAGTGTGACATTCGAAGTAGACAATGTATCTCACCTTGCCATACCTGTGGACCTAATGCCGAATGTGCCGTTCGAGACCATAAAGCGGTTTGTGTTTGTGCACCAGGACAAGTGGGTCAAGCCGATGATAAAGAAATTGGCTGCTTTGTGCCACCACCACCTCCCGATGTTCCCACCGTACGAACCATTCCACCAGTTCAAGATTTAACTGTAATGTGTTTAGCTGAAGGTGTTCAAGTTGCCGTTCGATTGGGCGGTTATGATGGTATCATCTATGTTAAAGGTCATTCTCAAGATCCAAATTGTCGACGATTAGTAACCAGTCAAGAAAGAGATTCAATCGATTTTAAGGTCAACTTTAGCGTTTGTGGACTAGTTCCAATTAACGGGGAAGCTTCGTTCATCCTTGTAATCCAGAAACATCCTAAACTGGTCACTTATCGAGCGCGAGCCTATCACATTAAATGTTTGTACATGTCCGGTGAAAGGACGGTAACTCTTGGCTTCAACGTTTCCATGATAACAACTTCCGGAACAATTGCCAACACTGGACCACCGCCGACATGTTTAATGTCCATCACCTCAATCGATGGTAAAGAGGTCACTTCCGCCGAGATTGGTGACGATTTACTACTCAAGGTCGACGTTCAACCCGATTGTAAGTTGGAATTGAATATTATCATTTTCGTTGAATAAGTTTACTAATTTGTACTTTTTTTCCTCTCTCTCTCTCTCTCGATTAATTAATTCAGTTATTTACGGTGGATTCGCTCGTAGTTGTGTGGCCAAAACAATGGAAGATGAAGGTGAATTCCAATACGAAGTGACCGATGCGAATGGTTGTGCTACCGATCCATCAATATTCGGTAACTGGGAATATGATACTCATAAGAAACAATTGATGGCTCGTTTTAACGCCTTTAAATTCCCGTCAAGTAACAACCTACGATTCCAATGTAACATTCGTGTTTGCTTTGGTTCTTGTCCACCGGTTAACTGTGATGGTGTCGATGCTTATGGTAAACGTCGTCGTCGTGGTGTTAAAGATGAAGATCTATTAGCTGATGCATTTAAAGAAGGTGCCCTTCGAGAGGAGATAATGGTCCAATCAAATGCTATTCTTACCTTTGAGAAACGTGATCCACAACCATCAGCATCTTTGGAAGGTCAAAGGCTCGAAGACGCTGATCACATTTGTCTACCCAAATTGGGTCTAATCATTTCCATGATATTAACAACTCTCTTAGCAATTGTCGCCGTTGCCTTTGCCATCTCATGTTGGCTTATGGCCTATCGACGTAAACCAAGGAGACCTGGTCCCTTAATCCATCCACCCGATTTCCCTAATCCCTTATACACTTCACCTGAACATGTAGCTGAACCCTCACCTGATTATTATCATGGATCACACCTTTGAGTTTAACTCAAATCAAATAGTTTAATTAACTCACTCACTTTATCATCCTCATCATCATCTTCATCTCTCTCTCTAATTGCCTATCACAATACCTTTTAATCATCATCCCCATGAAAAAAAGATGGGAGATTAATGAGATTCAAAGTCATTCTTAATCATCATCAACACAATATTTCAGTAACGAAACTCATTAATCCAAATCATCATCATCATCACCACCACTAATCATCAATCAATGATGAAAGGAATCACAATTTAACATAAACTCACATTCCGTCCAAATAGTAATTGATTGAGTATCGATTTTAATTACGCTCAAAGTTATTATTTTAGTTAATGAGCTAATTAAGAAAAGTATTAATTAAATTAGCACTTTTATTATCAATGAAAATGTAAACACAATTCAATTGTTTACATTAACAGTCACCAACTTTTTGACTGTTTCATCGTCCAGACAAAATCAATTGGAAACAATTACCAATAAGCATTAATAATTAAGTAAATGATAATTAATTACTAATTGTAACTATTTGAAAGAAAATTAAGATTAATCAAAATTGATTATTTGTAATAATTGTCAATGGTTATCGGGAGAATCGCAGATAAATTATCTCTTCCTAATCTCTCCGTTACAACGAAACCCTTTCGTATCCTTTTGTAATCCTAATCCTAATCCCTTTTTTGTCTTAATCTAATTAACTTTCAACTCACCCCACCCTGACTCTCTCTCTCTCTTTAAAATTATTTTTGTATATTAATTGAAACTCTTTTCACGGAAAACTTGACCCAGTCCACTTTCATGACGAGTTCAGATTGACCGTTGAACCAAAAAAAAACTGCTGATCACTTTTCCATACTCATCATCATCATCATCATCATCATTTGTTATCATCATCATCTCTCTCACTTTTACAACCACCAATAATCATCGACTAATCATCAAGGAATCATTAATTAAATTGTCCACCCGATTCATTAAATTATCACGACAAATAAGCTAATGAAAAGAAACAACGAAAAGTTTAATCAGCTGATCAACTCGATTGGTTCACTTTTTCCCGGAAAACAGTTTCAATTAAAATCTATCTTCATCTTTCCTTAATATTAATTATATATTTGAAAGAAATAAAATTAAAATTTCCAATAACGTATTTCTTTAAATTAAAAACATCAATCAATTACTCATTCCAATAGCAATTAGTTTAATCAGTTAATCCAAATTCAAACACAAGGATAAAAAGTGTTTCCATCAGCGTGTTTAATTGCGGTCGGTGAAACCGGTGAACAGTATCGGCGACTTTGAGTTATCGTCATACTGGAAGCAAAGGTAAAGGTCAACAATTAGTTAATTAGTTTCTCTTGGATTATAATTTACTCACTGAATTGCTGAATCTGAATTAATATGAGTCAAAGTAATCGAGTCAAAATAAACGACTGGCTTTTTAATCTTGTAGATTGGATTATAAGGCGAAGCCAAAGTCCATCGTAAATAAATGGACGTTATATTGGCCATTGGTGAGAAAGAGGCGATTGTTGATTGATATTCACGATTTGGTTCAATTTTAACATCCCTGTTAATTGTTGTTCATTTTGTTAATCATTTAATTGTAGTAATATAAGTGGAAACAATTAGTTACTTACACTGGAGTTAAAACAAAATCTTCTTGTGATGTTCCTGATTCACTTTGATATAAGATGTTCATCTTCAATTTACCTTGATGAGATTCAAATTTTGGTGATCCTGAGGTTTTAATTGTTACATTGTAATTGTAAACTGTTAATTGTTGAGAAAGATGGTTAGTGATTAAGGTTTGGTTTACAATTTGAGGTAAAATTTACCTGGAGATGATATTGTTACATCAACACTGATTAAGATGATGAATGAGACGAAAAGTATCAAACTAATTGTTGTTAATTGTTTGATCATTTTTCTCTAAAATTAGATAACAATTAAAGCACTTTTTTTTCGTAGTTTACTATTAGTATCTGATTAACTTGATGGGAAATTAACTTACCTGGAAAGGAGTTTGATTGTTAATGAAATCAAATTGTAATTTATTTAAATCAACTTGTTGATTGTCAATTGATTTACGTTACATCTCATCAATTACAGAGTTACTATTGTTAATTTTAATTCCTTTGAAGTTTTTTTCAATTCAACAATTAAGTGGTTATGGTTGAGATGCAAAGGACAATTAACAATCAACAAGTTACAATTGAAAATTAAATTGTAATGATTTAATGATGAAAACAGTATTGACGTGTTGATGTGATTATTTGATTTCTAATTGTAAATTTGATACAAATGGCAATCAATTCATGGCCGTACATAATCAAAGCCAAAGAAAGTTAAATTGATCAGCTGATTTAGATGATAATTAACTGATTAGATTATAATAACAATCAAACTATTGTAAGCTGAGTAAATTTTCATCTCTTGTCATTTAGCTGAATCAACATCTCGCTTTTAAATGGTTCAAGTGGATCCATTGTCATTTTTGATAATTCAAATTGTTGATGATTAAAATTTTCATGTGAACATTTCTTTGGATTATAAGTGGACCTCATGGATGTAAGAATTGAGAAAAGTTCTTGATCCGATCAACTAATATAAGATATTAATCAAGATCTGAACATTTGAATGTCTAAACATACGTTTCATATACTTTTTTGGCCTAAGAAATTTCTTGCAATCAACAAAGTCAAATCGTAGCTACAAATCACTAATTAAAAAGCATCATTATCAGTACGAAACTAAACAGAAGGAGATGAAAAACTGATCAGATAATCACTGACGACTATTAATATTTAATCAATACGATTATCATCATAATTATCATTATCATTATCGTCTTTATAAATAATATCATCAATCAAATGCCAAGTGACAGCAACAAAAATTTACTGATTTTGTTAATTTAATGCCCATAAACCTAACCGATTGTACTTATTATTTAACAATTTACCTCCAACCGTTAATTGTTTCCTCCTTCTGATGACAACAATCAGCAACAATTGGCATTATATTATAAATATCTTATCCTCTTTATATATAAATATAAACATCGCTTAGTATCATGATCATTATCAATAAGAAAGTTTCAAATTAACCAAACAATTACAATGATAATTTAACAATTTTCAACAGAAAAAAACGAAAAAATTAAAATCAATATTAAAAAACTAATCAATTCTTGAATGGATACAATTTGATCAACTTTTCATTATTTATTACTAATCAAATTGAATTATTAACTCTAATCAGATCAAGTTAACTAATCAATTGATATTGAAAATAAGCCCAAATAAAAAGTTACCAATAATCAAATGATTAGCCTGATCAAGATGAAGAAGCAATCAAAACATAAACCAATTGAAAATGAGACACTTAATAAAAATGTTGAAACAAATTAACAATCAAATTAAATAGTAACAGTTAATAATAAAAGAGAGAGAGAGTAAATTTTGATTACGATTGTGAGCACATCTAAACAATCAAAATTGATAATCATCAATGAAATTATTATAATAGTAGATTGTTGGATTGGTGAGTGTGTAAAAAAAAAGTGATCATCATCAGTTAATCATGATTATGATTGGTAAAAGTCCCAAAAATAATCAACAGGAACCTGAGGGTATCCCTTAAGCTTGTGAACAACAAGCAAAAGAAAACGTTTTTTTACCGTTACTTGTTGATCCAAGTATCAGGTTGATTACGAATAATATTTTTTTAAATAGACGATAATTTATAAATTTATATTTATATTGCCAAAGAATTAGAAGCGCAAAAACTAATACTCTTGTCCCATTGACCTCGATTCTAACGGGTACCCCGTTTATCCTCATTGACCCCGACAACAACACCAACACCATCAACCTCTCATCATATTGATATTATTGCATAACATGATCATCAAGTTTTCAGGCAATCAACTTTTAAACCAATGATTTTATAATAGATATTAATCTTAATCATCTCAAGGTGCTTATCATATTGATCAGTACAATTAACTGTTGGTTACATACTGGTAACGAAAATGATTCCAACTTTGTTTCGAAGTGAAAAAAAAAAGTTTAAATTTAGTTTGAAAGGAAAACTTTTTTTTTTTACTCTTCGATAACATTGAACTTTGACTTAGAACTTTTCGATTTTTCTTCCTGATTGTGATTAAATTATTATCCAATTTAAAGATCAATTGGTTAATTGTTCTTGATTTTTTTCTGTTTATTGTTGTCATTACAAGAAAATGTTTCAATTTGGTGCTTAATTGTTGAGAACCGTTTTGATTATCCGGTTAATTTTCTTACTAATTAGTTGATAATTAGAAAATTATTCATTACTGTTAATTAGTTTGTTAGTTAAATTGGTTTATCAATTGATTAATGATCGATTATTAGTATTAGTAGAGTAATGAATAAATTAGATGATCTTGTTAGATAATCAACCGAATTGATTTAATTGTAAATTGATTTAGTTTTGTTTTTGATTTAGTTTGGAAAAAGTTTTTTAATTTGTACATTTAAATTAATTGTAATAATATTACATTATAATTAAGTAGGTTGATTAGTTTTACCTTTTGTTGTTACTTTGATAATTACAATCAAGTTAATTTAAAAATTGCGAGTAAATTGTTTCAAAAGTTAATTGTAATCAACCTTTGAAATTTTGAGCATTAATTGTTGCAGTTGATTGTTAATTAAATTGGTATAAAGATGAAAATAATTAGTTAAATGGTTTGTTTTTACAATCTTAATTTTGGACACAAAGTTTACTGAGTTTGATTAGTTTACGATTTAATCGTATCAATCAATTGATGATTTAAATTGTAAATTAATTTAATTGGTCATTTAATTGGTTTGTTTTCTAATTACCCTTTAATCCAGTTGGTTAATCCAACACGTTTTGTTAAACTACGAACACCAAATTTATTGAATAACCTTCCGATCTGTGATAATGGACCACTATTTGAATCAACTGACCCATGGTCAGCGTTTGACCTTAGATATGGTGGGATTGGTGCTTGACCTGGTCTAATTGGAGGCGGACTTTTGATTCCTTTGATTAGATCAGCGCCTTTCTCACCGATCATGATTATTGGTGCATTTGTATTACCTGAGACAATTTTTGGCATAATTGAACCATCAATGACCCGAAGTCCCGTAACTCCGTATACCCGAAGTTCAGGATCAACAACGGCCATTGGATCTGTTGGTGGGCCCATTTTAGCGGTACCCACGGGATGATAAATGGTCTCGGTGAAAGATCGAGTCATACATTCAAAGGATTCCTCTGAATAAGGTTTAAACTGTTCACATCCGTACCAGGCTTGAGGCCAAACTCGAGGTTTGAACTTTTCAAATGCCGATGAAAGTGCCATCGTTGTTGAGATTTTCAAAGAATCTACTAGAACGGCAACATCGTAAGGATCAGACAAATATCGAGGGTCAATAATTGGATGATCATAGGGATTGGCTGAGGCCAATTTCAAGTAACCTGTTGATCGAGGACGAAGTAGAACTGGATAATAAGAATAAGCGTCTTTATATAAATTTGGTCCATACACTTTAAGGAAAAGTTCATCAGTTAGTCCCATATTTTTACGAACTGATTCACCTCCGTCTGATGATGGACACGACGGGATAAAATGAATCTCTACATCAGGCCAATCATCTGAAGCGTTTGCATATTTAGTGTTGATAAAACCGAGACCATCAAGGCCACCAAGCATCGTTAACGGACCGATACCCAAAGTTGACCATTGAGTAAACGATTTGGCCACAAAGACACGAGGTTGAACCACAGTGACCGGTGCATCGGTTAAAAAGCTCAACCCACCGGCACCAATATGATCTTGAAGATTTTGACCGACACCCGGTGAGTCATGAACGACCGGTATTCCCAATGATTGAAGGTGCTCTTTAGGACCAACACCAGAGAGCATCAAAAGCTGAGGTGATCCAATGGAACCAGCGGATAAAATGACCTCATGTCGAGCGAAAACAGCATGATGAGCACCAGCCTTATCGAAAGTAACTCCAATGGCACGTTTAGCCTCATTGAATAAAACTCTAGTGGCCTGAGCAAAGACAACAGTGTCAAGATTAGGTCGACCGGCGATATCTCTTAGATAAGCTTTGGCAGTTGAACATCGAGCACCTCTACGAATAGTACCTTGAGGTACAGCGAAACCCGTTTGTTGTGGTCCATTAAGATCAATGTTAGGATAACCAAAGTTTTTACCCGCTTCAAGAAAAGCTCCCGCTATCGGTGTAGTATAATGTGGCGTTGAAACTGTCAACCGACCGCCAGTCCCATGATAACCGTTCTTGATAATATCGGGATCACGATTGTCCTCCGATTTGATGAAATAGTAAAAAACATCATTCCAACCCCAACCATGGTTACCCAGTGATTCCCAAAGGTCATAATCACGAGCGTTACCACGAATGTAAAGCATATAGTTAAGGGTTGAACATCCACCAAGAACTTTACCTCGAGGCCACCGGGAAATGTGATCTTTCATTCCCTTACAAGCAAACTCTTGGGGAACCGTTTTGTACTGCCAGTCCCATTCACTTAATTGTAATCGAGCGGCCAACATGGGAATCTCACTTTGAAATGTCTCATAACCTCCCGCTTCGAGTAGTAACACTCTGACCTTTGGGTTCTCAGAAAGTCGACTTGCGACCACAGCTCCAGCCGAACCAGCACCAACTAACAGAGCAAAACAAACGAAATTTATATTAGTGAACAATTAAATCATTCCAATGATGAAAGTTCGTAGATCAATCTAACGATTAGGAAATTTTATTAAATAGATTCGAAGTCAGCTCGTTAGACTTTCACTCTTGAGTTTAAAAGTAACCACGAAGACTAATTGTTAACAATTGAAACTCACCAACAATATAATCGTATTCCCGTTGAAAGGTCTCAGTGGTGAAAGGAATTGACCTTTGCCACATATGAAGCCAGAACATTACAGTTGAAGGTATGAGTGCGGGAAGAATGGCAATTATATGGTGATGGTCAAACATTTTGGTGCTTAATTAATGAACGGACAATAAGTTACTCAATAAAATCAATTCCCGATTACAATCGGGAATGAAACTAAGACACAAACACTTAAGGGAAACTCACACAAATCACAATCAATTGATGATTTAAAACAAAAGTCCAATAAAATTATGTAAACACATGAGATTTAAATTGATTTCAGTTGATACTTTTACTTTGTTTTATCATAAAATTAGTAAACAAAAATTAGTTAAAATGATCTTGAATCCGGGATTAAATAAGTCATTTGAATTATAAACAAGATTATGATAATGATGATCTATCAACTATATGATGATAATAAACTATTGTTATCGTTGATTTTGGTAAGGTTAACATTGGAATGGTTGGAAGAACCCGAATAACGGTAAAAGTGTCGCTAGAATTGAGACAACAGGCAACAAAAAAAAAACTTTTTCTTTCTCTTACAGACTAAAGATGAAGATGAAAAGATGATGATTAAGGATGAGAAGAGAAAGTTACCTGTAATACTAATACCACTCTCACCTCCTCTTCATCCTTGTTGTGACCCCTCACACGGGAAGATCATCATCATCATCATCAAACAAGCTTAAAGAGAGAGAGAGAGAGAGAGAGAGATCATAAGGGGAAAGATGAAGATGAAGATGAAGATGAAGACGAAGATGAAGATGAAGATGAGGATGAGGATGAGGATGATGACGAAAAGGAGGTTACCGGGTGAATTGAGTTTTTTCCCCATGAGGAAAGATGAGGATGAGGATGGAGATGGAGATGGAGAGATGATAATGATTGTAGTGATGATGAAAGAATCGGAATCCCAAACTGATTAACCTAAAGGGCTTCTGTTATTATTATTATTATTTGTGATTATCATTTTAATCATCATCATTATTAACACACCAAAATCTCACTAATATCATTTGTTTCCATATCAACAATTTAAATCGTGAAGGGTCAATAAAACCTAATCTGATTACTATTTACCTTTGATACGGTTTCAATTTCATTTAAAAAATTTCACCTCTTTTTTTACCTGTAATACATTTTCACTCATCATCGTTATCACCACAAATCCTAATCATCTTCATCATCATTATCATTATCATCATCACCTTAATCATTATCATGCTTCCTGTGATAATTATCATTATTATCATCATGAAATAATCAAGTTTATTAGTGTTAATATTATATATTTATAAATCTGAAAAGTCAATCAACAAAACTATCATTTATTGGTCACGTTATAAAATATTAATTGTATTAATTTTAAAATCTAATTACAATCAGCCTATTAATAAATCTACATGATAATATTGATAACAATCAGTTCTGATTACAAATTTAGTTGTAATTGACAATTAACATTGAAAATTTTCATTTCTACAATTTTCTCATTTTCTGGACAATTTGATTGTTACAATATAATAACTTTGTTTATTAATTACTTTTGATTATATTTAGTAATTATTATCGACTAATATTTTTGCATGATTCTAATACGTTTACTTGATTACATATTACTGATTTTTGATTGTTAATTATTATCTGATTAACTTTTTTAAACGTTTTCCAAGGTAAAAGTTACTAAAAATTAACCTGAATTTGTTAATTGTTGATTGAGGTCAATTTGTTGATGATGATAATGATGAAGTTGATTAACCTTCATCATTTGTAACTTTCATTAACTAAATTAATTTGTTTCCATAATCTAAATCATGTAACAAAAGTAAAAACAAAATGAGAAATTAAAATAAATTGTTTATATTATTATTACAACAATCTAATAAAATGTATGTTAATAAAGTTTTACAATCAACAACAATTAACATTTGTATCAATTAACTATAATTGTACCATTAGATTAGCCAATAAATGAGCTAATCATTTACAATCCTCATCGGCTATTAATATAATTGTGAATTAAATTATCGTTTAAATTGTAAATCAGTAAATATTAATAATAAGTAAATGTATTAACTTAATCAACAAACGAATTGAAATTTTGATTATTTTTGTGCTTGACAAAAATGATTTATTTTCAATTTGTTGATTTTCTGGTCAATCAAATACGAGCTGAGGTTTAATTGTGCTGGCTAATTGTGATCTTATGATTAGACAATTAGTCAATAAACTGTCAATATGAATTAAAGATTAATCAATAAATTGTTGATTCCCAAATAAGCTTAGATAAACAATCTTGACAGTTAGTAGTTAGATTGGATAATCAATTCAACTTAATTCATGACCTTTATTTTTTTTTGGGTACAAAATGATTGAGATGATGAAGATAATGATGAGGATGATGATGATGGTGATGATGAATGGACAGTGAATACAAACTGACCATTCAAGTTTGTAATAGATTGTAACATTTACGTTCATGTGAACAGTTTTGATTTATCTCAATTAAGTTTCAGATTAATGATATTGATCAGATTAACAGATTAATTTTGATAATACAATTTCCGTTTCCGATGTATCCAACTGGTCAATCGGACACAATTAAATTATCGGTGTCCAACTGATTTTGTACTTTAACCAGTAGCGACCTTGGGCCGTGAATGTGGATACACAGTATTCAGACTCCATGTAACAATCAGTAAATTGTATCTTAATTCTTGCGATGAAATCATCAACATTCTCGGTGACATAATCTGCATCACTAATTGATAGCAAAAAATGACCTTCCCTGGAAACCAAAGGTGAATCAAAATAATCGTCACCGAAATTTGGATGATTATTATTGTAAATTATACTCGTAGTTCCGATTAATTTGAATCCGGATAATTTTGAGTCCACATAAACTTTGATATAAGAATCGGTTTCTGTAAATGTATCTTTCTGTGGGAAAAAGCACTGACCAATGGTCAGTCGAGCTCGACCTGGAATATCATTTAGATGGACACATGAACCAGATTTACAATAAGAATCGACATCGCAAAGTTTACCATAGTTTAGACTGTAGCTAATAACTTGATTGTCGTTGTAATAATCACTAAATTCAGGGGAAGATGATGAAAACCATGAACAATTAAGTTGACATTTTGTTGATGATGATGAAAAAATGAGACGATCAGGATATTTGGATAAACATGATCGATCATCTTTATCGGTATAAAACTCATAGAATGGACTAATTGTTGATAATTGGAAATTGGAACAATTAACTAGCAGAATTGATAAAATAATCGTTGTTAATTTAACTATTCTCATTTTTATCTATTCTTTCACAATTAATTATCGACAAATGATTAAAATTCTTGCCTGATTGTTATTACTTATACTTCAGTCTTTTGTTGATTGTTTTCTTAAATATCATTTAATTGTCTCATTGGCAGAACTTAATTGTTATTATGTATCTATTATTTATCATAATTAACCAGGTTTCCGATTAATTCGTTATGCCGACTAATCTAAAGCTAATCATGTCTTAATTGTTGTCTACAAGAATATCTAATTTGCCTCATCATTAATGGTGTTAGACTGTTAATTTGATTAATTATAACAACATTTCCGATCCCTGTCAATCTAATCAATAATTAGATCTTTCTACCAATCAACTGGCACAAATTAAGATTTAATTGTCATGATTTAGTGATTAAGATGAAAAGTTTTTCAAGATCAAACTTTGCATCGACTAATTAATTTAAAATAAACTCTCAATTGCGATTGATTAAAACTTTCTTTCGATTCTTGGAAAATTCTGAAACAAGATGAACTTTTCCAGCAATCAGTAAATTGCAAATTCGTTTTCACAACTAAATCGTAATTTTTGAAATTCCAATCATAGATTTCGATGCAAAAACGATCATCCAATGATACTAAAGCTGAATCGAAATTGTCAGAATATCATGAGCTTAGTTCCAGAACATTTCGATAAATAAAAACTTCGAACTCGTTTCCTTGGATTGAATATCAATTCGAGACCAGTGGTCAAGCGAGCTCAATATACGGAATATCAATAAGATGGACACAATAATCGATCTCACTTTTCATTAGTTTTCACAAGAAATTGTCCATAAACTAATCATCAGATTGAAACTTGTCTTAATTGTGTCAAACTGACAACTTAATTAACCTCTAATCGTCTAATTAATGTGATTTCCGATTGATTTATCAGCGCATCCAAATAAACTTAAATCAAACAGTAAATCAGATTTCCATGATTAGTTGATCAATCAATTGATCAGCACCATGAATTTATTTGTATATTAATCAAAAAAATATGTTAAATGGTTAATTAATTGTTGTTAAATTGATACTTTGCTTATGTTCACAATTAAATGATTGTCAATTGTATGAATATCAAATTACCAGAGGAAAAGTAAGTCAACCTAATGGAAAGTAAAATAAAATATATAAATTGTTACGAAATTATGATGATGAGAATTACAATGAGATGATAATTAAGTTATTGATTGGTTGATCGTTGAGTTGATCAGGGCTCTTGGCTAATCCATTTTAGTTTGTAATTAATTGAATATCGACCATTTGATTCCTCGCAAGTGACATTTTCCTTGCACTGATTGAAATTAATCGTAAAGCTACAAATGTAATCATCTGGTGATGAGTCTCTGTCCTTGGCGACCAGGTAGAAATGTCCAGTTTTATTGGCAAGTGGACTTGTGAATGTGGTATCGAAACTGGGTGAATTGTCATCTTCAATTACCCGTGTTGACCCAAGGTCAATATACCGCTCAGGCTTATCATTTTTCGTAACATATACTAAAATGTAGGCATCGGTCGCTGAGAAATAATCTTGATCGGGAAACCATCCATCTACTAAGGTCAAAACTGCTTGACCCGGAAGATTATCCCGATCGATACAATGACCTGAACGGCAAAAGTTTTTACTCCCACGGCGGCCACAAGGTAGATTATCACTGACATTGTAGTGGACAACGTCCACTGTATCGTAATATTTATGATAATGAGATGAAGACGAAGCCCAAAATGTACACTTAATTTGACATCCATCGGATTCCAATGTCGCTGAGAAAACAAATCGATCGCCATGTTGATTAATACAAAATATTTGCTCACTCGTAGTTAAAGTATCTTTATAAGTAATATCAGCAATTAACTCGGAATCGGGTTTAATGGTTGGACCAGATTGGACAATTAAGATGATCATTGAAAGAGCGATGATAATATTGTAAAAAAATTGATTGGACATGTTGATTTGGAGACTGATTGATTTGATTAGATGAGATGAGAACACAATTTAAAATCAAATCAGTGGTCAATTGATTGATTTTGGCTAAAGGTTGGTTTCAATATCTTATTATGATGATGTTATTCACTGTGATTAGCACACTGATGATGAGATTAAGTTAATTGTGATTAGTTTATAATCCTCGGGATAATAATTAGGAAAATTAACAGAGAGAAAGATGAGATTTTGATTGCAATGAGAAGCCCAGATGTAAATGATTCGAGACAACAATTAGTATGAGAAAATGAAATTAATAAAACAATCCTTAGATGAGAAGACAATTAGAATCAGAGAGAATAATTAAAAGAAATTAGAAAAAGTTAATTAGTTGATGAGGTTAATTGAGAGCTAAAGATGAAAAAGGAAAAGGAAATCTAATACAATCTAAGATGAGAAATTGTTGAGAAAATTTTTTCTCGCAATTAAATTAAATTGATGAGAAAATTTTTCTTTTCTCAGAAAAAAATTGATTCTTGTTGATAAATCAACTGTGAATTTAGTTGATTAAAACACAATGGAAATGGTTTACAAATATAATCACAATCAAGAGAAAGATGATCAGACAATTGATTTAACAATAGTCGACAAGGTTATTGACTATTGGGTGAGAAAATTAAATCCACTCAATTTGTTAACCAATAAGAGATCAACATTTGATTAGGAACATTATTTAAATCTGAGAGAAATTAAGAAACAATCAATTGAAACAATTAGTTCCATATGGGAATTTAATTGTTAGTAAAACAAGTTGGTAACAATTTGAACAAATATGAATCATTTAAAATGATTGATCTTCATTCAGATATTGACAATTAATTGAATGATTGTGCGTAATTATTATTGATTAGCTTATTGTTCATTGATTTATGATGAGTAATTTAGAATCAATTAAATTGGATTAGAGTAATTGTTAGAAAAGGTTAATCAATTGATCCATTCAAATGATAGTTTTGTTATGTTTAAGGTTCATGTTTATTTTTGTTTAGGGTAATTAATTAATCAATTACTTGATTGTTTTGTTTTTCTCTATTGTTGTTGTTGTTGCTTGTGGTTGTTGATTTTTACAATTTAATTTGATTTAGTGATGATAAAAAAAAATACTTCAACAATTTCCGTTCAACTATTGGTATTGTTTTCATCATTTCCGGAAACTTTTAGCTTATCCAATCCTTTCTTCATGGATTCAATATCTTTATTGTTGGCGGTGGTTGGTGATTTAACGGTGGGATCACTTTTAGTACCATTGGTGTCGATATTATCTTCATTATCAGCTGATTCATTATCATCATCTTCTTTATCATCGTTGACATCATCATCTCCATCATCAACTTGCTCGTAATCATTTTTGTCTTCAACTCCTTTTTCACTTTCATTTTCAGTTTCAGTTTCTTCATCTTCAGTGTCATCATCATCATCGTCGTCGTCGTCATCATCATCATCACTATCATCTTCATCGGAATCTTCATCTGAATCTTCATCACTGTCATCATCTTCTTCTTCCTCCTCTTCTTCTCCTTCCTCTTCGCCATAATCACTACTGTCACTGTAGAAATTGTCATCATCTGTTGATAGAAGAGAAAGAAAAAATAAAAAGAGATTAATAGATTTTCCAAAATTAAACTAATAATAATAATAATTAAATTCTAACCTCTTTTCGTCGAATCCTTTTTAACAAGTTCGAAGGGAACTCTCTTTAAAACGACCTCTTCAGCTCCTGGTCGCTGACGGACACTTGTATCTGGCTGTTCAGTTGGAAAATCGGGTAACTCTTCATAACCAGTTAATCTTTTATCAAGAAAATGAGATAAAGTTCCAATTCTAAATTTAGATGAATAATCTACAATTGATTCTGATTGTTCACTTTCCGTTTGGTTGATTGAAACTTTGGGTGACATGAGTATCCTATTGGTTAAAATGTTACCCTCCTGGGAATCACATTTATTCATCAATTGTTTCAAAAATCTTCCTCTATCACGAACATCATAATTAACATCATATTTTGCCAAATTAAAAACATAATTAACCAAAGCTTTGATTCGGATTTTCTCTTTCTCGGTGAAAACCTCACTTTCTCCAATGATTACCTTTAAATACAATTTAGAGGCTAAATTCATTGCCTGCAATTTAACTAGATTTGATTCATTGCAGAAAGTTTTCGCAATTAAACGTAATACATCAGGTGAAACTTGTAATGATTTGTCATTTTTATCACAAAACTCAGCTAATATCCATAATATAGTAGCCCGAGCATGAGGAGTTTCAATTTTATCAATTAAACGAATAACTTGTTTGATTATCATGGTAACTATTGAATCGGCTTTAGTACTTGAATCCATTGAGTCTTCATCTTCATCTTCATCTTCGTCATCATCATCGTCATTATATTTGTCATTTTTCGTAGCAACTCCTTCCTTTTTTGGTGATGATGATGATGATGATTCTTTATCCAATTGTTTCTCTTTCTCTTTACGAATAATTTGTGTTCGTATGACGATAATACTTTGAGCAACAATGGCCTCATTACGATTGGATAGAAGTTTAATTAATCCATTCAAACAGATTAGGGCAACTTCTTTGATTCTTGATGCACATCGACCGATTGCCTGAATTGTGGCTGAAACAAATTCCATGTCCGCTTGATAATTATAAATGTACGCCTGAAACTCCCTCAGAATCAATGGTATATTGGATGAACTTGATAGATTGGTAAGAATGGAAAGTTTAAGTATTTTCACTTGTGTTGAATCACGAGATTTTATGAAAAACGATTTTAAATAAGGTTCAAAAAGTGGCTTCATAGGCTTGGAGATACCATTACTTGGTAGACAAGTTCCGGTCAGGGTAACAATATTGGTTAGAACGATAATCTGAATTTCCGGGTGAGAATGAAGTAAACGTATTAAAGGTTTAACAATGAGTGAGTTTACTTCCGAATCGGGTGCCAATGCTAAATATAATTGCACAACTGCCATGACCACAGCCGAGTTTCGAGATTGTAATAATGGTTTTGCGTTTCTCAATAATAATCGATGGTCAGAATCAAGGTAAACAAGACCACCCATATCACCGGAATCTTTAATTTCATCGTTTTCTCCTTCTTTATCATCACCTTCTTCTCCTACTTCCCCTTTATTTGAACGGACATTTGGATCTAAAAACTGTGTCCGACCATAACGAATTAACATGTTGATTAAAATAACTTGACCCCATTCATCAAAATCGGGCATGAGGGAGACAAATTTCCGATAATTGGAGTGTATCAGATCAAAACGTTCAGGACAAATTTCCTCGAAAGCAGCGACCGCTGAACCCAAAACAAGTGAAGTTTTATCTTGAAGTAAACGAGCAATTACTGAAATAATCTCTTCCTTTAAATCGGGATCCAAATGGTATAATTTAGAGATCGCATGAGCTGCAGTTTTCCTCACATAGGCTGACATATCATTGGAACAATCTTTAATTGCGATCAACATGATTGGTGATATCATGGGAACTCGAATCGATGAGAGAACCCGAAGAGCAGAGGCTCGTATCAATGGATTAGGATCTTTCAATGATCTCTGGAAAGACGAGATTGATAAAAGTGCCAAATCTTGTTCCTGTTCAGCGTAACGGGTCAGGTAAAGGTAGACCAATTTTTTAAGCTCTGCGTTTTTGGTCACCACGTTTTTGACCACATGGGGAAACAGTTCTCTTGCCGCTGTGTCCGATGAGGCTCGACCTTTGGCTATCATTGATATTAATCGTTTCATCGCCTCCACTTTGGGTCCATCTTTGTTATTTTCCAACATTGATTTAAGATCATCATTTCGTGACGGAAAAGCGGGTATAATTGAGGCACTATCCATTTGAGTAAAATTACTTGTGTAACTGTAAGAAAGAGACATAATCGTATAATTCATGATTAGTTAATTGCGCTGATATTAAAATGTTTAAAAACAGAGTAAAAAAAAACGTTAAAAGGAAAACACAATTAAAAACTAAGGGAGATTGACAGGATTGACTTGAAGAGTTTGGGAGAAACAATTAGAAGGAGAAAAAGTTACAATTTGTATTAAATTGATTGTAATTCTATATTGTGATTGTTGGTGATTTGATATCGATAGAAATGGAAATAGCCAAAGGGAGTCTAAGCTAAGTTAAAGATGGAAAGACAATCAATTTGTTTTGATTGTTATCATTCGATGAGAGAGAGATTGATGATAACCATTGGGAGCTATTCTTTGTCTCGTTGGCTATTGAAGAGATTGAAGATAAATTGATTAGTAAATAAGAATAGAAATTTAATTTTTTCTATCAATACAATTGATTGACAAGAGGAACCAGTTTTTGTCACCTGAATAGCATTTACTTGATGATGTATTTGCTTTCCAATGGAAACAAAAAAAAAGTGATCAATGGATCTTCAAAATTAGGATGTTTTGAAAATGGTAGAACACTAGAAATTGATACAATTAATATATTCACCGAATAATTATAATTGTAAATGAATTTCTATGAAAGGAATCAGCTGGAAAATCAGCCGGTTACTTTACGATTAATAACAGAGCACAAATAACTCTCAATGTTTACACATTGAAACCAATTCCTTGTGACAATTACCGAGACTGTTTTTCACTTGAATAACATGTTAGCCAGGGTTAATCCAGTTAAATTAATTGAGTTAACCTTAGATAGAATTTACAATTAAAACATTATCATGAAGAAAGAAAGATAGAGAGAGAGAGAGAGAGATAAAGAGTAACCGTTACAAGGAGCAAAAAAACATAACCAGAAAAAGGGGACAGGGGATTTTTCACCAACCAAAAGAGAAGAGAATAAAAAAAGAGAGAAAAAAGAAAACTAAGAAACAATTAGAGAAGGAGACAAAGATAGCAGAGGGAGAGGATATGATTAGAAGATAAAAATTGATTATTAATTATTAATTCTTACTTATTTGTTGAGTTACCATAACTTGAATAGTTATCATTTCCACCTCCACCATAGTTTGTATAATCATTGTTTTCATTTATCTCTAAATTGGCTGATTCTTTGTGAGCCTGATACTCAAATGAACCAGCAGACGACATGGTTATTAGGTGGGTCAGTGGTGGAACAGTTGATTAACCACCAATTAAAACAAAAATTGAAAATAAATTACGAAAGATCAACTAATTAATTTAATTTAATTAAAGGTAAAAAACATCAGGTTGCCAACGTCAAGATCCATCAACATGAAACTCAATTGATAACAAATCTCAGGGACGGTTGAATAATAACCAACCGAAAATAAGAAAAAAAAATTGACCTTTCAAAGTGAAAATGAATTTTGATCAAACTCTTAATTAGTTGGTTAATGTTTAATTTAGTTTAGTTTTTATTTCCTTTTTCTTCTGATTGTCAAGTTAATTGTTAGAATTGATTAGAATTAAATTTTTGTCGTTTTTGTTTCAGGGAGATTGAAGAAATTAAATGAAAAATTGATTGGATTTTTTTATTGGAAAATCATTTGTAACAATTAACTTTAATTATCTTTGAAGGTGAAAGAAAAGTTAATTGTTCAATATTAACATAGATTATGATTAGTTGATAGTTATTAGTTTTGATTGTTAGAAAATTTGTTAATCGTTAATTGTCTGGGTATTAATTGTTTCCTTTTCTCGGTTAATTGTTTCATTTGTTTTGAAACTTTTCTCAGTCTGAGAAAGTTAATTGTTGATGATTATCGAGTGGAAATTAGTTGATTGGTTACAATTAATATTTAACCTTTTGATTGAATTGATTATTAAAGTCAAATTTCAAGTTAATTTTGTCTGTTTTAAGTTAATTGTTCAAATTGAAAAGGTAAAATTTAATCTCTACAAATTTAGATTATAACAATTAACCAATTTATTGAAATGTGATTAAAGTTAATTCAGTTAAATTGTTACTTATTAATTTGAGTTGTTTTTTTAATGGTTTTAATCGTTGAAATGATTTACTTTTAATTTGGTTAATTTAATTCACTAATTTGTTAATAACTTTTTAAGAATCACTTTAATTATAAAAACTATTTAAAAGTAAAAATGATTTATTATTGTTACGATTAAAATAAGTTACAATTAAGATGGTTAATTGTAGTTAACGAGAGATAAATTTACCCTTTAATTGTAATTAGTTTTCTAATTCTTATTTTAACCATTTTTCTTAATTCGATTGGTTTAGAAAGAATTAGTTAATTGGTGAATATTTTCCAGTGTTGGAATTGAAAAATTATTTGGTTGATTGTTTTTGTTTTGAGTCTTTTAATTGTCTTGATTTACACAAATTAACTTTATCTCTCACATGAAATAAAGTAATTTGATTGATTGTTAATTGTTAACAATTAAAATTATAATAGTATAATTAAAGTTTTTTAAAAGTTGTTTGAGTTGATTAATTTGTCCATGGATTTGTTTTGGTAACTTTGGTTTGACAAATTGTTTCATCTTCAGTTTTAACATAGGAATTGATTCAATTTTGAGTAGCACAATTTGATTGAGTGAATTGTGTGTCCGTGTAAATGATTAACAGAACATGTTAATCAATTGATTATAAAATAGTAAACATTCGTAACAATTATTAGGTGAAATTAACAATAATAATTAAAAAAAATGGTGAAAAATTGGGTTGAAAAAAGTATTGGATCAACAATGTTTACAATTAGAAAGCGAGAGAGAGAGAGAGAGGTAAAAATTTTTCCATTTCATGAGAGTTGATTGTTGTTGGTGATTCAGTTCATCAATTAATTTTTTCGAAAACATCTCAATATAATGAGGATGCAGACCAAGTTATCAGTACCAATGATTTGTAACGATGATCAAAATGGTGGCGATGGAAACACGATGATTAATGATGATTGTTAATTTTGGTACGTTGGTGTTAAATGATATTTGGAATCAATTTTTTACTCAGATGATCCTGAAAGCGACGAACCTTCTGCTCCAGGTATTTGAACTTCAATTCCACATACTTCAGAGATAAAGTAATCCATACACGCTTGATACAATTGAATTTGAGCGATCAATTGATTTGATGAGACGGGATACTTATCTTCAGCCTCTTCTTTACACTGCCGGTGGAAGCTTAAAACCTTTTCTTCAACCTCACCGATCAATTTTTTAGCCTTAATCTCATTCTCAGCTTTATCAAATCGATATAAACCTTGACCATTAAACCAACCTTCCATTCGTAAAGCACAAGCAGCAACTTGTTCACGATGAAGTTCAACAGTTTCTCGAGTAATATTAACCGGAACCGGTGTTGATTCTAAACATTTAGTAATCACGGCAGCTTTTTTAATCTTCTCCTCATTGGTTGGCTCTAACTGTGGACATTTACCCCAATTGATTGATGGTCCACCAGAAGAACCAGCAACACCAGAAGATGAAGATGAAGACGATGACGATGATGATGGTTGATATTCCTCATCATGTTTGGAAACTGAAGATTTTCCTGTAGTTGATGTTACGGTTGTGGTTGTTGTCGCAGTTGTTGGGGTAGAAGAAGATGTTGGCTTGGTTGTAGCTCGAGGTAATCTTGCAGAATTAGAAAAACCAATTGTTAGACAAAAAAAGAAAAAAACACAAATTCGAATAGAAGAAATCATCTTGTTGTTGAGAGAAGAAGAAAAAAAAACAAATCAAAATAGAAAAGAAAAAAAATTATTCTTTTTGTCTTAACCAATAGGAAAGCGGGAAAATTTTTTTCTCTCTTTTGTTTTCTGTTCTCTTGGTAACAGTTTGTTGTTGTTGTTGTTGATGGAAAATTAATCCGAGTTAATTACGAGTTGATTGTTGATTGTTCACAATTTAAACAGTTTGTTAAATTTTATTCCAATTGTTAAGTTAATTCGGTGAGGAAAATTAACTTGATCCGATGGACGAATCTTGTTCAACTGAATTGTTGAACTTATCTCGTTGTGATTACTTTCTAACTTGATCAGTTTCTACCCCAAAGGAGGATCTTGAAAGTGCCTTTAAATACTAAGATTATCCAACCGATAAACTCACTTTTATTTCTACCTAAAATTAACTTGAAAATTGAAGTAAATTGTTTAGAATTGGATGGCGATAGAAAATCAACCAACCACCCACCCACCCACCTATTCATCCACCTTTAGGTAAGTACCTGCCTTCATTTTACTTTCTTTTTTTCTCTCCTTCTCTTTTCATCCATCTTGATTCACCATCATCTCCACTTCATGACAACGTCCTACTCATTAGGATATATGATTAAATCTATTGGTTCGTTGACCCACCAACCCAAAGAATCAGGTCATCTGGTCCTCATCCACCCACCAACACCACCACCACCTCCTCTTATCTTCTCTCTCTCATTCATTTTCCGATTATTCTATTTCCCTTTCTATTCACTTTCACATTCTATTTGTCATCACCTTATATTTTCTCTCTCTCTCTCTCACTTTTCCTTTTTTTTACGATTTTCTAACTAAATTTACCTTTTCTCTCCTCCCTGATACTCTCTCTCTCTCCGCTACCAACTGGACATAATTCGTTCTTCATTGACCAGGTCGTTGTTGTTGAGCGATTTTCTTTTTCATCTCTCTCTCTCTCTCTCATTGAAATTCATGCTATCAAACAATGTGATTGTTGTTGGCTAACCAACAATTCTGTTGTTCATCTCAATTCACCCAAATAATTGTAACATAAATGACAATTTTTCACATTTCCCCAATTTATTATTATTACTAATTATTGTTATCAATTCTATTCAATTGTATATATTTTCACTTTTTTTCTACAGATTAATTATCACTCGATTGGTCAATTGTGTCCTCAATTTTTTTCGGAATCAACAGGAACAATTTTCATTTTAATTGGCCTTTTCGATCACACAATTAACAACTCACCAGATTCACTTGAATCCATCAATAGAATTTTTTTTCTTCAAATCTTATAACACAAATAGCAGGTTAACATTTGCTTCATTGGAAGTTTTTTTTAGAGATTCTCATGATACTAATTAATCATCTGATTGTTATAATGCCAAAAATGGAACCATGGAGATCATGGTTAATCATGGATAATCAATTGTTCACCAATAATTAACTTCAACTATCAAGTCGGAAAAGGAAAATCCTTAAAACAATCCCAATCAACAAGACAACATTGAAAAGGTTTCAAGTGATTAACTTTTCTATTACAATTGAAAATCAATTACCAATAATAGTTAATCGTTGATCAATCCTTGATATTATTTAGAAACTGTCAAAGTATAAATCAAATTGCAATTTTGTGACGGAATCAACCATATGATTAACCCTTGATTGGTTTATTGCAGTAAAAAAAAAACACCAAAAAAAGCAACAATTAAGAAAACAAAAGGTTTCAGTTAATGAACCAGAATTTTGAATGGATAAAAAGAGCTGATTATCAACATTTAAATCATCATATAATTAGTTTATCATCATAACCATTACAACAACAACAACAACAATTGATCACATCAATTGCGAACAGGTAAGAATTAAAATGCAAATCAAGATGGTGGCGATAATTGCGAGTGAATGTGTTTAAAGAGTTAAATTAGTAAATTGTAAATAAACGATACGATGAATATTTTTACCTTCACTGATTGTAATTGTTATATTATAACAATCAACGAACACAACTAAATACAATAATTGCAGTTTCTTTTTTGATTCTTGGAAACGGCCTAATTTGAAAGATTAAAATTGTTACTGTTATTCATTATTCATCTAATCATGATGATCATCATCATAATCATTGGGTGAGTAAACTTGATCAGAAAAAAAATCAAGAAGAAATCAAATCAAATCAAAGTGAAGGGAACAAAAAAACACAACGCTGATTTAACTTGTTGATTAGGTCAATCAATTGTTGGAAAATCATTTCAATCGTAAGTAAATCACTGATGAGCATCATTAACATACTCTGATAATCATCATCAACAATTTAACTTTTCAAGTTAAATTGAAATTGACGTGAATCGCTAAAAACAATCACAATTTACTTTTGATTCTAATTATCAACAATCACCAATCTAATCTGAATTTTTTTTCTACAACAATTAAACATTTGAATAACAATCTCGTACTAATACATTGACGATGCCAAATTAAGTTGATTAACAATCTAAGAATATCTTATTACACAATTTAAACTTAATTTGATTTCTTCTGTTTTTTTTTATTTGGTTGAAAATCTTCATTATGATTAACTTTATTTGCTAATCAAAGTGACAATCAACAACAATCAAAAATCAATCAATTGTATTAATCAACTTAATCAATAGGATTGATTGGTTAACTTTTGTGTTCACATTGATTGATTGTTTTACTTTTGATGATCATTAATTTATCCCGATTATTAATTATTCCAATTTAAATTGTAAATTTGGTTAACAATTAACTTGATTAATGAAAGTTTCTTGGGTCTCAAGTTGCGATGTTAATTTCCAGACAACAATTGTTACAATTTAATAATAAACTTAACATACTTAAGTTAATTATGTTTGATTGTTAATGGTGAAAATTAATATTGTTAATTTAATATTGGAAATGGTTAATCAATCAATTGATTGTAATGATTAACAATATTAATGTAAATAGAAAAGTTTTCATCTTCTATTAGCAATTATTACTTCCTACTTTTAATTCACTTGAGATTATTTATAATTAACTTTAATTAGAATCACAATCAAATTATTGGTTGATTGTGATGGGAAATTTGCTAATTGTTTTGATAGATTTGAACAACAACAATTTACTTGGTGTTAATTCATTTTGGTTTTGATTAACTTTTAATTGTCAACCTTGAAAGTGAATGAAAATTATTACAATCAATTTGGTAAGTTAATTGTAAAATTTGACCGAGTTAATTATTGGGTTAATTGTGGTGATTAAGGTGAAGATTAAATCAATTGTTTATTGATTAAAATTTGTAACTAAAATGATTTCAGATAATGAAAAATAATAATTAATAATAACAAAGGAAAAACTTAGTTAATTGTTAGTTAATTGTCATCAAAATGTTAACCATAATAGTAGCATGTTGACAAAAAATTAAGTAACAATTAACTTGAACCATAATAATAATTAAATGTTAATTGTACTGAGAAATTAGATTAACAACATTAAGATGATTTGGTGTAACAAATTGTAACAATTAACCTTTAGAGGACAATTGAAATTGTTCATTTGGGTTCAAATTGAATTTAACTAATTGTCAACCGATTCCAATTAACCTTTTGATTTAACTTTCCAACTTAATTGCAATTAATAATCAAAAGGATGATTTAAATTGCCTGAATTGATTTAATCACATCAAAACTTACACAGTTTAAGGTTGGACAACAATTAACAAGGCAAACTAACAATCAACTTAACCAAATGATCGTTAAATTGTTTAAATATAAATTTCGATCGGAAAATGTTATTTTCGTACACAATTAACTAATTAAATTGTTTGAATACATTAAAATAGTTTGTAACCTTATTGGTTTCATGTGTTGTGATTGTTAATTTGTTGTTAATTGTTGTTCATTGACTTTACCCTTGCTTCTTGATTTTAACTTTTTTTTTCTCCATCAACAATTGGATGAAATGATTAACAGTTAATCATGAAAAAACAAGTCAAGTTTAACACCAATCAAGATTTGATTGTAATTAATCATATAAACAAGTGATTATGTTTTTGTTTTGAGCAAAAAAAGCTCACAAACATTTAGCTTATTTTACTCACCGAAATCTATTCTTAATCAACATTAACCACCATTTTTTTTGCTTATTCACCTTAATTATTGATTGTTGCTGGTGGATGATGATTAAGACGAAAACAAGTGAAAATTAATCACAATAATCAAGAATAATTAAAGATCAGTCAATTGAAAGGGAGAAACAAAAGCAAAACTGAAGATTGAAAAAAAAGAGAGAAATTCAAATGAACCAGAAAAGAAACAAATTAACAGTAAACAATAGAACATCTAATGGACTATCAGCTAAATGGCAACATAATTAAAAGAATTAAATTTAAATTAATTACCATAGAAAAAGAAATTAATTAATTGTTTTGATTAGAATCAATTTCCGAAGATCCGGTTAATATCGTTATCGGGATTCGATTCTTTTCCTTTGTTAACTTGGATCCGAATTCTTATCCGAATCCGATCAATGGAAATTTTTTTTTCTATTTACTTTTTGGTTCTTTGATTGTTTTCTAACTTGATTTAATTTAATTTAATTTGGTTTTTTTTTCTCTAATTTATCATGGAAGTGAATAGTCTAGATGAAGAAGAAGGTAAATTGTTACTTGATTTGAAAAGAATTGAATGATGAAAGATGAGGGAAAAGTTACTTATGTGTTTTGTTTGTTTCTCTTTGTTAATTTTGTTTTGTTTTGTTTTTCTTTGTCTTTGTTTTGTCATTTGTATTTGAAATTTAGATAAACTTATGGGCTTTGGTGATATTGCTGAGTTTATAAAGAAAGTTAATCACACTAACGAAACAACTGATTGGCCAGAAAATGTTGATGGAAATATTGATAATATTGATGTTGGACTGGACCAAATTGAAGAGGAAACCATTTTGTTTACTATTCCACCAACAAGTGTTATCGCAATTATCTTGATTTCTATTATCATTTTACTATTCATCTTAAATTCAACCACAAAGTGCCATAAATCAGTTTACAAATTTCTCAAAAACTACAACAAACAGTTTAATCAACTGTTAATCTTTCACAATGATAAAAGGTTCAATAGAGATAAATCATTATCATCGCCAATTAAATCATATGAAGAAACTTCATCAAGTCTCTCATCTTCTGGTAGTGGTCATGGTGATGTTTTATTTAGACAGAGAACAATTTCCGATCAGATTGATTTCATTGGAAGAATTGAAGTTGGCTCTTTTGGACGAGTTTGGGTGTGTAATTATCGAGGACAAGCGATCGCCTGTCGTGTTTACAATACAATTGAACGTAATTTATGGTCACACGAGGCCGATATTCAAATTCACTTGAAAAATCCTGAAGTTGTTGGAATGATTCATAAAGATATAAGAGATGATCCAATTACTTGTGCGACTAAATTTCTAATTTTTACCGATTATTTTCCCAATGGAAGTTTACATTCATTTTTAAAACGTCAACCAGTTGACGAGATTACGATGATCAATTTAATCTATTCAATTGCCCGTGGACTTCATCATCTTCATTCAATCATCTTGGGTAATCCAGATAAACCGGCGGTAATTCATTTCAATATTAAAAGTCGTAACATTATGGTTGCTAATTGTGGATCTCGATGTTTAATTAGTGACTTTTCAAGCGCTTGTTTATATAACAGGGAAAATCGAATCAGTGAATCACCCAAACTTTTCAATTCTTCCAGTGATTCTTTACGCTATCGAGCACCGGAACTTTTAAACAACAATCAAGTGCCAAATGATTTACAATTAGCCAGAGCTTGTGATGTTTACTCTTTGTCTCTGGTAATTTGGGAAATTGCTTCAAGATGTTTACTACTTAGAATCGATGGATCAACTTATTGGAACAATTATAAACTTCCTTATGAAGATGAGCTAAATAATCAACCACCAAATGAGCAAACAATGTATCAACTTGTCCACCTTAATCAAGTACGACCAAAAATAGACAACAATTGGTTCAACTCACCAATTTTAACCAAAATAATTAAGATACTTAATGAATCTTGGACCAGTTCACCGTCTTCCAGGTTAACAGCACTACGAATAATGAAAGATTTAGATAATTTACGAGAAAGTTTACTATCAATTGATGATGATAAAAAGAATAGATTAATTTCAATTGAATTATCTTAAATCATCTTCACTTTAATCTCATTCTAATCTCAACAATTAAAAACAAACTTTCTCTCTCTCTCTCTCTCTCTCTCGTTTTCTATTTCTACCCCCACCAATATTTACTTTATTATCTTTATTTTTTTTTCCTTCACTTAAATTATATCCATTGAGATTTATAATCTTAATTAAAATCAAATTTTTTTCTCCTCTTTTAATTGTTTAAACTTTTCATTTTCAATTTTATTTAATTAATTGATTAGAATAACCTAAGTCGCCATCTATCAGATTAATTATTAACTATTTAGAAAATCGATCATTTGTTCGATTAAATGAGGTAAAAATCGATTATTTCTTAGAATCTAAGTCAATCGAATAGTAAAATCAAAACATTTGCTTATTGATGAATTTTAAAATCAAATTTGTTTTTATCATTTCTTAATTATTGTAGTTTATATTGTTAATTTATTTTGTTTTTTTCTAATTTAAATTAAGCCATGACAAACGATGAACTATTGGCCTTATGTATTCCATGTTCAGTTATCATTCGTCGTTTAGATTTTAAATTATTCAATGGTTTAAATCATAATTCTAATCATCAACCAACAGAACATCAAAATCATCAACATAAAGAACAACTTGGAAATGGTAAAATTGAAAGTGTTAACAATGATGAAGGTGTTAAAAGTGATAATATTTCCGATATTATAGAAAATATTGACCCTGATGCTGGTGTTTCAGTTGAAAGTGTTCAAATTAATAATGAAACCGAGGTTATAGAAAACAATATAACCGAAAATGTCACTTCAAATGATGATACCGAAAGTGTTGCCACCGAAATAATTGAAGATGAATTTGTTGCCAATTTAACCGAATTTCTTGTCACCGAAAATGGAATCAGCAATAGTATAGAAATTAATAATTTAAATGATGTAGAAGAAGAAAAAGAAAAAGAAGTTAATGAAGATAATGAAAGTGTAAATACTGAAATAATCGATGAAGATGAAAGTATTGTAACTGTAAGTGATGATACGGAAATTGTTAATTGTGTCGAAATCCAAAGTGTTCTTGTTACCGAGAGAGTGATTAAAAAAGAGGTTGGATCGATGAAAAATCCATTCGCTCTTTTAAATCGAACACCAAAATCAAGCTCATCAATTTCAGATGAAATGGAAACATCAATTAGTGAAATTGATCCGAAACATTTGCGAACAATTAAAAAGGAAGTTGGCTCAATAAAGAATCCATTTGCCTCATTCCATCACCCGACAACCCCAATAGATGAAATAACTCAACTTTACTTCAAAGCGATGAGTGGCCTTTTATTATTAAGCAAAGAAGACGAAAAAGTGACCACAATTAACAACGAATCATCTGAGCCAGTGGAAGATGCTTTTATTAACGAGATTATAAACCTAAACGAACATTTCTCCGAAGAAGTAATTACATTTTTCCTTCTCTTTCTCTTTGCTTTTTTTTTTGTTCTATTCTAAATAATTTTTTCTTCTATTCTATTTTACCTTTTGCAGGATTTCGTCGAGAAAAAGTTTCTCCTTCTTTTGGATTCGCTGAGCTCTTTACCCGTAGAAGACGCTTAAAACTGAGCCAAGGTGATATTCTTTTCCATTATTGTGTTACCCATTTTCCCTCTTGCCCCCAAGATACGATTCTTTCCCTTACCTTTTCTTTTCTCTTCTCTTTTCTTCAAGTTCTCCTTCTTCTCCTGTCTATTTCTCTCTCTTTTTCTACTTTTTTTCTTCTCCTGACTTCATTTTCTGACCGCCCGTCTCTCTTTCTTTCTCTCTTTCTCTTTCTCTCTCTCTATTTTCTTCCTTTTCTTTCCTTTCTCTCCTTTTCCCCCTCTTTCTATTTTCTCATCATCTTTTCTTTCTCTTCTCTTTCTATCTCATCACATTATCTCCACCTCCTCTTTCTACTTCTCTTTCTTTCTCTCTCTCATTTCTCTCTCTCTCTCTCTCTCTCTCTCTCTCTTTCTACCTCTCTCTGTCCTTCAAAATACAGATTCTTTTATATTCTTTTTCTTTGCTTCTGAACCTTCATCATCATCATCATAATCATCTAAAATCTTATGATTTTTTTCCGTTAATCATCTTCTCTCTTTCTCTTCTTTCTCCTTTCATCACACTCTTTCTTCATATGTCTCTCTGTCTCTCTTTCTTTTCTTCCCTCGTTTAGTGTTGTTGTTTCTCTCCTCTCTCTCTCTCTCTTCTTTCTCTCTCTTGTCAACTGTCTTTTATTTTCGCCAAATGATCAAAATGTAAGTTATCTTGTTGATAGTTTATGTTTTTCTTATGCAGTCAGTGGCTTTTTACAGAATTGTCATTGTTGTTTTTTCTTGAAAATAATATGGAAACATTATTGTGCTGTGTGTTTATCATCCTATTTGTTTAGTGTTCAAGTGAATAATAAGCTTATCTCTTTCTCTCTCTTCTCTTCCCTTCCCTCACATTTACACTATTGGAAAGCATGAAGGATGTTAAGTGTATTTTCTCATCTTGGTTGTTCTATTCTCTTTCCCCCTCATATATTTAATCAATAACATTTTCTTTTTCTCTTCTCTCTCCAACAAAATTATTCTCTCTTTTGTTTAACTCTCCATAATGCCAATTACATTCTCTCTCTCTCATCATATATACTAATTAATTTTCTAATTTCTCCTCCATTCTCTTAGGCGGCAATGCAGTGCATGCAATAAGCCAATCGCAGACAAATATTTGTTCCAGATTGACAAGGATGATCGATTTTTCCATTGGAGTTGTTTAAGATGCAGACAATGTGGTAACATTTTGACCAATTTCTGTCACATTAAAAATGGAAACATTCTCTGTAAAGAGGATTACCTGAAGTAATTATTTTCCATTCACCATAATCTTAAATGTTCTTCCCATTTCCTATTTTTCTCTCTCTCTCTCTCTCTCTCATCTTCATCTTCTTCTCTTTATCTATATTTATATCTCACATAGAAACACTTTAAGACACAATGTGTGGTCTCTTTTTCTTTCTCTTTCATTATCTAATTATATTCCTTTATATAGTTTATACTCTTTTTCCTCTTTATTTTATACATTTTGTCATCTTAACATCTTCACTTCTTTCTGTTTATCTTAATCTCTCTCTCATATTTACAATTGTAATTGTTGATCATTCTGACGATTTTGTTTTTGTTTTTCTCTTTTCTTATTATGGATCTGATAGATTCCATGGAGCCGGGAATTCTTACTCATGTCAAGGTTGTTATCAAGTAATAGACAATGTTAAGGATTGGGTAATTAAGATACCATCACCATCACAAAGCAACAATCATAATAAATCACCATCTAATAACATCAACCCTTCAAACCCATCGAATGCAACATCATATACATTATATCATGCAAAGTGTATTCAATGTTTTTATTGTAAGAGAACGCTCAATCCAGGGGATAAATATGTACTTAACAAGATGAATCAAACCTTAGTTTGTACTTCATCTCCTTGTATATCTCATTATACATCAAACTGTTCATCGGCGGTTCCTTCACCCTACGCACCATCCATGTCTCCATCTCCACTTCAACAACCAGCCTCCACTCACCATCAGCAAACCAAAATGTCAGTGCCTAGTGTTCGAGGTCGGCGAGGTCGTGGCGGTGGAATGTACAAGAAATTTTAATTTAATCAACAATTAAGACTAAAAAGCTCACCCCCCACACGGAGAGAATGCGATCGAAAACAACAACAAACAAACAAAAAGCAACTTAAACAAAAATCTCAAATTCTTTTCACAAAACATTTACCATCATCGATATTTAAACCGCAAATTAATTAACTTGACCAAAATTGTGAGATTTTCTTCACCCAATAATCAATCTTTAAATCAACTAATAGATTGGATTAACAAAATTGTTATATTTTAATTCTTATTCCACCAAGAATAATCAATATATTCGGAATGTATGTTTATGGCCATCAACTTGAAGAAAAACAAAAAAAAAATATCACAGGAAACAAATTGAAAAACGATTAACCCTTCAAATCTTTGGATTTAATAATTGTTCCAATCAATTTAAAGATTAATCAATTTGAGTTAAAAAGAAAACCATTTTCTTTTTAACGAAGGGAAATCAACAAAAAAAAAATTAATTATTTCGTAAAAGAATAAAATGTAAATATCAATTTTGTTAATTATTCTCTTTCTCTTCAACGTGTAAATCAAACCAATTCTCATATCAATCAGTTAATCAATTTCTTTTTCTACAAGATTAGTTACTTATTGTTCCCTTTAATTGTTTTCCCTTAATCGTTTCTAATGAATGGTTTCAATGAAGAAACAAGATCAACTTTCATCATGAACTCTCTTCATGAAATGAGGTCTTTCCAGTCATCATTTGATATTCACCTTTTCTTTTCTTTCTTCTCTTTCTTTTTTAACTTGAATTTCGATGAGAGAGAGAGAAAAGTAATATAACTTAGCCTATTATCCCCTGAGGCAATAATTTGGCAATAAATCTTGAAATTGATCGATGGATTAATGTTAACAAATGAACACTTACTGTTTTTTTTTCTTTCTCTCTCTTCATCTTGTTCATGAGAAAGAAATTAAGAAAATCTTTTAAACTCTGAATGCGGAAACAACTAAGAGAGAGAGAAAAGAAAGAAAGAGAAGATAAAAGTTCCACTCTAATAATTAGTTAGATGGTTATTTAGGACAATCCGTTTAAATTTAACAACAGATCAGTTAACTGAAGAAGAAAAAAATTACTGGCAATTAGCTAATCAATTGAACTTCCTTTGACTTGATTGAGATGTTTGCTTTCATTGAGATTAACTGCAATTGTGGTTAACGAGCTTTCAATTTCCTTAATTGTCTCTGGATCCTGTTGATTAACATAAACTTTGAAAGTTTCTATGATCACATGAGATAACATGATAATATAACAGCTCGAAAATTAATTTTTGTTATATATAATTTTCTTAATTGTGTTAATTGTTATTTTGTTTGAAACAAAAATGTCACCATAATCATCTCATCCTCTTTATTGTTGATCTTGTTGGTTTGTTGTTTCAAATTCAATTGCTTTCGTAACGTTAATTATTGGTTGTAATCCAACGATTCCTTTTTCTCTCATTAATTCAACACATTCTTCATCAATTATTCCATAGATTAATGAATGATCCACATCGAATGATTCAACTCGAAATAAAATCTCTTTTCCAAGTTCCATTTGATTTGATACTGAATCATGAACCTTTTCTGGACTAAATGCTGCGATAATACAATTTAATACAAGTGCATTCATCACTTGGGTTTTGGTGAATCTGTTGAAAGAAACAAAATAGAAGACAATTAATCATTGATCAAGATGGAAATGGTTTCACAATTTACTTGTTTATTTTACCACGAATTATGGATCCAACCGAAGGGCAGAAAATGTAAAATCGAGCTGAGATATCCCAGAAAACGAATGGACAATCATCTTTAATTCTTCCATAATCAGATTTAAATTCAAGTTGATCATGATAAAGGAGAATACCTTGTAAACTGTGGGGAAAAAAGAAAAGAAAATCAATTAATTATTAAGAAAATAAATATAAAAAAAAACAATAAAATAGAGATGAAATTAATTTAGCAAACCTCTTACTCTATACTGTATCTATTGGTCCATTCATATTTGATTAAATCATAAATTGTATTGGCAACTTTATCCAATTTGTAAGGTGGTAATGGAACAGACAATTCTCTCTCAACAATCTTAATTAGAGAATATTCATCTTTAACCAGTTCATCTAATTGGTCAACATTTAATTCAAAAACTGAATGCATTTAGAATTTGATTCCAATCAATAATCAAAGAGAGAGAAAAAAAACCAAACACCAACCAAGAAGAAAAACAAAACAAAACACAAAAAGAAACAGAAAAGAAAAACAAAGAAACTTATCAAACAGAGAAAACAATCTAACGAGTCTCAAGAATCAGACGAAAAAAAAAATCATAACCAAAAAATCAATCAAATTTAATTTAAATTTCAATTAATTGCAATCAAGAGGAAAACAATTAAATTGGAACAAAAAAATGAAAAAAGCAAAAAATGTAAACATAGAAAACACGTTCTTTTATGTGCTGCCATCTTTGTTCTTCATAAGTTACTATTCTTTTATTTAGTTAATCGAAATTCCCCTCAGATGGAGTCACTTTTTTCTCTTTCTTTTTTCTTTCTTTTCTGTTCTGTTGTTGTTACGCTTACTATTTGTGGATGGAAATCTTTTATGGTTTTAAAATTTTCTCTTCTGATTTAACCTTCTTTTTTCTGTCTCTTTTTTAATTAATTATTTCTATTAATTGTTAATTGTTGATTAAAATTTTTCCCAGTGTTTTGTGTTCTATTTACCTCTCTTCCTTTTGTGGTAAAAGCAAAGGTTTCAACCTGTTGATCTACAAAAGGAAAATCAAAATGTGGGGCTCGTCCTCAGGTTACATTGGATCTTCATCTGATCCGTCTGGTTCAATTACCAATATAGCTCAATATATTGAGGATTACATTGATTTGGTTGAAAATATACCCAATGATATAGCTCGCCATGTTAGTCGTTTACATGAATATAATAATAGATATTACCAGTTATTGGATAAATTGGAGAAAATCTGGAAAACAATAACTCATTGTTCAAATTCTATATTAACTAATGGTGGTGATCAGTTAAACGGTGGCGGTAATACTTCATTATCATCTTCATTTTCTTCATCTGTACCTACAACAATAACATCTTCAACATTAACCTCATCTTCATCACAATTACACTCATCTTCATCTAAAACAGAAATTAAATCAAGTACAAACATTAAAAATAATCACACATCATCATCATCATCATCATTACCATCATCAACAACAACAACAACATCTTTAATAACCAAATCCAATAGTAACTATAACATTAACCATGAAATTGGAAATAAAAGTGACAAAAATAGTGGCAATGGAAATGATTTGCTGTTAAATTACACAACGGATTCAAGGAAAGGTTTAAAAGCTGTTGTTGGACTTCAAAAATGTCTCATTGAAATACAAGAGATTTCAGATGAGAAGCTGTTTATTGTACAAAGTATATTGGATCAACTGGATTGTAAAGCTCGCCAATTAGATTATGATCATCGTAGTGTAACAATAGGTAATTTCGCCCATAATTTAAATAGTAATGCATCTAAAGGTTTAGCCAGTCTAATTGGAGCTTCAAATGATACAACAAATCACATCTCTGATGCCAATGGTTTAACCAATAATGTGGATTCCGGTGGAGGCGGTAAAGGAGGAGGAGAAATAACATCAACAAAAGATAATAGTAATTTAAACAATAATGGAACAAGTCTGAGTGCCACAGTAAACAATAATTGTACATCAAATACATTATCTAACAAAAGATCATCATCAAGACGTAATTTATCCAATAAACAAGAGATTTCAAATGGTGAAATAACATCTAACCATAAGAGAGGAGTAAAAAGAGGTGGCGGTGTTAAAGGTTCTAAAGATATTAAAAGGAATAAATCAACAAAGGAAGTGTTAAACACTAGTCCACCAACACTTTATGAAGATACACCAATCGATCCCGATGAGCCAACCTACTGTTCCTGTGAGCAAGTTTCCTATGGCGAAATGATTTGTTGTGATAATGCTCAGTGTCCAATTGAATGGTTTCACTTTGCTTGTGTTTCCTTAACCACCAAACCAAAGGGTAAATGGTATTGTCCCAATTGTAGAGGCGACCGATCAAATATTCCCAAAAAGTGACAAATGGAGATGAAATTACCACCACCATCACCATCACAACAACAACAACAACACACAATCAAACAATTAATTTTTTTCTTCTCACCTTCCTTATTTTTCCTTTCTTTTTTGTTTTGATTTTCCTTTCTATAAAAATCAACAACCAAACTGTGCAACTGTGAAAAAAAAGAGCAAAACATTTAAAGGAAAGACAAAAATACTTTATATCTACACAAAATATATATATACTTACTCTTATATCTACTAATTAATGTATATATATGTTTGTGCACAGTTAATTTTCAACGAATGCAAAAAAAAACAAATCACCACGGAGAGAAAAACACAAAAACTCAAGTGACATCTAATTTTTTGCTGCTACAATTTTCATCTCACATCATCGTCTCAACTTATAAAAACAACAACATTCACTCACCGCCATCAAAATCCACTACAATCATCACACAGCATTAGCACTACCTCTCTCTCTCTCTCTCTCTCGTTCGTTTTTCTCTTTGTTTTCATCCTTTTCTCTATTTCTACTTCAATCTTCTCTCTCTCACTATTTTTTTCTTCCTTCATCTTAACCGTTGATGCAAGACCAAAATTTTGCAAAATTTATGCCATTTCAATTATCTGTTAGCAAAACGAAATCATCTTCTCCCTCCCTCTCCCTCTCTTTCTTTCTCCTTTTTCTAATTCCTTGTTTCAATTCTTCGTCTTAAAATTATCATAGTGATAAATTGATTTTTACCTCTCCCATTTGTCTTAATTTTTAAACGAATGGTTTAAAGCTGAAAACAAAAACAACTCATTAAACTAAAAAACATGAAATCCCAGCCTTTTTCCTCTCTCACTCTCACTCTCTCTCTCTCTATAATATTAAATTGTAATCATCTTTTTCCTCTTCTCATTTTCCCTTCCAAGAGATTTTCATTGAAACAATTTTCGACTCAAATCAATTTCAATTGTACTGAATTGTATATATGACTTTTACCATCTCGGTTTTGTCATATTAAAAAACAAATAAAATTATAAAAAATACATTTAAATGTGTTTACTAATTGGTTTTTGTTTCTTCCATCTTCTTACTATGGGCTAATTACAATTGTTTAAGATTGAAGAATCAGTTTGGTTACTGTTAGTCTTTTTCTTTCATTAAATGAAATTCATTTATTCCTCTTTTTGGATGGTTAGGCCTGAGAACATAATTATGATGTAAGATGAATATTGACACGGGAATAGGTTAATTTAACGAACAACCGGATTAAGACAATCCATGACAGAAATTGGAAACTCTATTGATTTACAATCGAAATATTTAACTTTTATTTTGACCACTGGCTAAAGATCTAACATATTTTAGATACACACTCTAAATAGATTGAAACATTTAGATAGCTTATTCCTTGGTTTCTTCTGTAAATTAAGAAAAAGAGAAATCAATGGATTAATCAGATGAAATCTAATGTAATTTACATGGGAAAAAGTTACACAAGAAAAAATAATGTTCACCTTTAGCAGCCGCTAATTCATGTCTCCAAGGGTAATTTAAAATTGGAACATGTTTGTAAACATATTTCCATTCACAGACAAATGTAGCGAAAATACCAAGAGCAGCACCCCAACGAACAGCTGATGGAATCCTAATTAAAAGTAGGGACAAGAAGACAAGAGAAAAATAGCAAAAAAATATAAGTAAAAATCACAATTAAAAACCAAATTAAACAATAGAAAACACTTACCATGGTAAAGCTTTATATTGAATATTTGATGTCATTCTTGGGAACAAAGCTTCCCGATCTAAGCCAACTGATCTTTTCTGTGGACCTGGAGCAAGATGCATGATGAATAAATAATAACCACTAATTGAGTAAAACAATAAAATTAGGGACAAAAAGAAATTACAATTAGAACAATTAAATTTCGGTTAATTGTTAAATGTAAACACTAAGAATTGACCTCAGATTTAACCAGAAAATCAACCAAGGTGAAAAAAGAAACTGGGTGACTCCATCTAGCGAACGAAAAGTCAACTAAATCGAACGAATTTTTTTTCAATTTCATTTTTATTCTCATTTCAATTTCTTGTTTGGGTTTTAATTGTTTATTTGTTTCTCTCTTTTTCATTAGACAATTAAATTGTTTTTTAATTGTGATTTGATTTTGTAGTCAAGGAAGAAATTGGAACAGTTAAACTTGTCGAATATATTTTGTTCTTTTCCATTTTGTTCTGTGATTTTGTTTTCTCTTTTAATTCTATAGATGGATCCATGGGTTTTTCGTTTGTGAAATATTTTCTTCCCTTTGGTAAACGCAATCTCTTTTTCTTTCAAGGAAAATGTGCAAGACGATCAATATATTCAGTGTATTCATTTTGGTAATTCTCATCATATAATACGCATGTATTTAGGTTTATCAAATGTTGGAAAAGTTGTCATTCATTGTAAATGTAAGTATTCAACAGTGAGTTTGCAAACGCATTTTCAAGGCTTTTTTTCCTCTTGTTATTTTATATTGTGTATAACCAAGTTTGCTTACTTCACTTGAACTCACTTTCTTTTTTCTATTTTTTAACTGTTTACATTTATATACAAATATACATACATAAATATATATAAATATACATATAAATATATATATATATAAAAATAAGCATAATATTAAGTGAATTAAACATTTATATTACCAACAAAGCCGAGGATTTCAATACGGCACTTATCATCTTTAAATATCACCATTCCACCACAAAATGGAGCAAAGTAAGTGTGCTTGCTGTCTTCGACAATTTTCATCCATGTTGGCCAAGACACGTTAAAGTCAGTATCACGTCTGCTTTCTATTTTGACAAGGCCTCAGCGCTGGAAGTGGTAAGTGTTTGTCTTTTTGTCTAATTATTCATGTAAAACATGATCCAATCAAGGATTGTTTCATCATTACCATCATCAGAATCTGTAGCATTTCCTTGTATCTTCTATCTCTCTTTCTCTCCCTTCTCGACTTTTATGTAGTGCTAACCGTTACCTTAAATATATATATGAAATGTATATATGATATTATATTTGCTGAGATCTTTAGCCAGAGCCATTTATTGGCTCGAAGTAGTATTCGAGAGGGTCTTCACACTATGGGTTCATTTTTCTTATGGTGCAGAAGCAAAACACCAGTAACTCGATTCTTTTTTTCAAGAGTTGAGCCCGTTAACCACCAAGCTCAGGCATGACATTGGAGTTAAACCTCTCGACTACTGTAAAGAGAGAGAGAAAGATGGAAAGAAAGAGAATAGAAAATAAGAGAAGAGAAACAAGAAAATCGATTGAAAGAATTAGGGAAAACAGAAGATGAGATGAGAAGAAAAATAGATTATTATTGATTATATATTTGCAGATTAAATTGTCAGTTGATGAAAAGATAGAAAATTCTGATTGAAGGATAATTAGAATGAGCATTTTCTTTTCTTCTTCTATCCTTGTAAACTCCTTGTTTAGTCTTTGACATTGATAAATTCTAATAATTGTTGTTTTCTATTAAATTGTGATATTCCAAGGTATCAGCCGTTGATGTAGATAATGGAAGAGGACCACCTCCAGCGCCCCCCGGTTCTGGACCAGGGCAATATCCTATTAGTACCAGAGGAGGAGGAGGTTATCATTTATGTGATCATCAAATCGGAAGTCATGGGCATCACCATGGACTAGCCGATAGAAATTACAACAGTTATCGAAGTAGTGGTGGTTTATATGGTTGTACCAGCAGCCGAGAACCTAGAATTAATATTAGAAAAGATTATATTATTGGCCAAGGTATTAATACAAGTAGTAACTTAAACAATAGCAGTAGCACCAATCGACGAACCAGTACGGGTCTGGGTTTACTTGGTGGACCTAATTATACTAGTTGCATTATTACTGGACGACATCACTCAACCCCAGGTATATTAACCAATAATCATAATATTAATACTTCAAATCATTTAAACAATGAAATAACCAAATGTTCAATTCGTGAATCTCCTCTCTCTTCTCAACATTACAATAACCGTGACCATCATAACCACGATCACCATCAATACCACAATCAAAATCGTAATCAACATCATCATCATCACCATGAAAACAATTTTAATCCATCAAAATATCATCAATATTTACCATCATCTTCAGTTGCCTCCTCGGTGGTTAACTCATCTCATCCACCCCCTCCCATACCTCCACAACCACCACCTTCCTTATTACCCCCACCTCCACCAACAGGTTCGTCCATTGTACCTCATCATCATCATCATCATCATACTCATCATCATACAAAAACTCAACCACCACCACCACCACCTCCCCCACCTCTAACAGCATCTCAAAATTTACCACCGCCTCCGCCCTCGAATGCTATTATTGGTAACACTGCCCACTGTAACTCTGATACCAGAACAGGTTCTACCTTTGATTCCCGTTATTATGGTGTTATGAACACTGGGGCAATTGATCCTTCCTTGCCACGAACAAGAAGCTCATCTTACCGAAAAGGTAAAAATATCGTTCCTACTATTAATGATAATAATATTTCCGTTTCCTTTTTGATTACTACTAGAATTCAATCCATAACCAGATCTATTCAGCATCATTTACTCAAGTCAATTTCCTATATTCATTTTGATTGAACTTATTTAGATTACCATGCATCTAACTACATTAAAATGAAAATTTCCTCATATAATACATAAGGTTTACTTAAAACAACCATTGATTGTTCAATTAGCTTAGACGATATTAATGATAGACTGAAACTTGGAAGAGAAAGTTTAAAATTGCAGTTTTTTTGCTTCTTGAAACAAAAAATTATTATTTTTTAATGAGATGGATACTGAAAAAGGAGATTGAAAAGAAAGTCAATTTCAGAATCTTTTCTTTTTTTTTCTTTATCATCCTCATCAACATCATCAACATTTTAATCTAATGATGTTACGCAGAGTAATACCCAATTGTTTTGACTGCGCATTGTTACAAATTTCAACTTAACCGATTTTTCCTCTTCTCTGTCTCCTTCTCTCTCTCTCTCCTCTCTGTCTCTCTCTCTCTCTTCCTGCTCATCCTTTTCCTCTCTACGGCTTCATATGAATAGGGCCTTGTTATCAGGGATACAATGCTTCCAATGCAACCTTAGATTGTAGTGGGGTCGATGGAAGTGAGAATACAGTCCTGGCCAGTGGAATGGACATTGATGATCAAGATGCTGATCCAAATCATCCACAGAATCCTTACCACCACCGGTCATCAGGAAATCCCCGGGTGAGAGCCTTAAATCAAGTAATAAGTCAACAGAGGAGGTCATTAAGGTATCGATCATCATCACAACCATTGATGAAAGCATCTTCCCTAATTATTGGGCTGGTGGCCGTATTAATCATTGGTTTCATAGTATTATCACCTCTCTTCCATATTTTGCTTCCCTGAAGATATATATATATATATTAAAATAAAACAAAAAAAAACTAAAATTATAAAATTAAAAATAAGACAAAAAAATCAGTTCATTTTTTACTGATCACATATTAGAAGATTAGAATTAGAATCATCGGAAAGAAGAGTGAAAGAGAAAAACAAAATAGAGTAAAAATTAGTTCTAAAAGACTAAGAATAATAGAGAGAATTAGAAAACACCATGAAAAGATTACATGGTAACATAATTTGTGAGAAATTCTTTTTACACCCAATCAAGTTCAAGGTGGAAAACTGATCCATCATGTTAACCCCTTGATTCCCAATTCCATTGATGATCAATTAAAATCACTATTGATTAACAGTGACAATTATAATCTCTCAACTATGAGGATAAAAAGACTAATCCAACCAACGATAAATGAATTAAGCAACATGAAGATTCTGAATTATCAACAATTATCATGATAATATTAGAAATTCAAATACAATTGAAAAGAAAGTAAATAAATGTTACTTTTAAAAAGCTAATTAAAGTAACAATAATTGCGATGATGATTAACATGACAAGAATTAGCGAACCAGAAATTAGATGAAGAAAAAGATTGATCGTTATTGTGGATTAAAAATTAATCTTATTCTCAGATTCTAATAATATGTATGAGAAAATAACTATTACCTGACACTGGGAATTTTATTGTCATGATAATACTTGACTTGGAATAGGAAAGTTTAATAGTTGTTAGATTGCAGAATTTATTTATATATATGATAATGTGGTGAGAAGATGATGAAGATGAGATGGAAAATCAAATTCCCAATGGTGATGAGAGTTTTTCTTCATCAGTCCAGAACTTCATGAGAATGATTCTCATCATTTTCATATTCTATCTCCATGTTGAAGGAATGAAAAAACCTTCAGGTAAGTTTATTTTGTCCAAAAGTTTCTGTTTATTTGTGTGATTAGTTTTTACCGTTACTTTTTTTGTTATATTTCGTCTTCTTATTCATACATAAAATATCACAACTTGACTATTTAAATTGTCGCCATGATAATCTTTCAGTTTTCTCATTCTCATTTTGCTGGAAGCAAAGTTCAGGTAAGACTTTGAGAGAGAGAGAGAGAAAGAGATAATTATATTTGAAACATTTCACTTGGCTGATCAGTTGTTCATTTACCTTGATTATAATCACAAAGAAGGTTAATAATAATTATTGTTTAAGTTGATTGAAGCTCTTGTATTATTTTGCATGAGTTGATCAAGGAAAACGTTGGCGTGACCAATTATCAGAATCAGAATTACGCCTTACACCAGAAATTACAATCAACTGAACAGAGAGAGAGAGAGAGAGAGAGAAAATGAATCTGAATCAGAATTTGAGAAACAAAGAGATGAACAAAGTTTCACCAACTCACATGATAACCCGGATTCTGTAATCTGAATACAATTTGAAAGATATTAATTATTATTGAATTCACATGAAATTAAGTTCATTTGGGAGCATGAGTTTTATGAATATACCTGATATATAATAACCATGTTACACCAGAAATTAGTAGTATATAAGTAATAATATATTTCATTGAGAATCGGAATCAGAATCAATAATCTGCATCATAATAAAACAGGGAGGAGGATGATGATGATTATCATCATCATCATCATTATTATTATTATGATGATGATGAAAAACGGATTTGCAATAACAAAAAGTGAATATGAAACTTATTCAGTTTCTCATGCTAAGTTGATTATAACCATGGTAATAATAATCATGGTAATCATGATAAACTAATGATAATATTAAAGTACAACATTCATTGAGGATGAAATATAATTTAATCATTGTTTTTATGAGAATGAAAATTTTTCAATTATCCTCCATGTGTATTTATATACAATAACCTGTTATTTTCATGATTTCATCGGGTTCATGATAATTATTACCTGAGTATTTCCAATGTTCACCTTATCATTATACAATTAGGAATCTAATTGGGGGGTGAAATGTGTTAAATTGACGAGGAAGAATATGAACAAAATTCATCTTCTTTTCAACTTTAATTATGCATATTAATAACTGGATTTAATTTGAGAATATCATGTAAATTAACATGATGATTAGTTGATTAGGTTAATTTACTATCAAAGTATTTCCAATGTTACAAATGTTGACAAATTTTACTCTCATTTGGATATTTAGGTTTCTCTTTTTTTTTGTTTTGTTTTATTTTCGTGACAATTTGTTTCTAAACGAATACAATTAAATATATTCACTGATTGTGATAATTTAAGTGAGAGAGAGAGAAAGAGAAACAATTATATTGTAAATTAAATTTCTCATCATCATCTTCAACAATTTAGATCAATTAAAACTAAATTAGTGGTTGAAAGAAAATCAACTTAACCGTAATTCATGAATTCAATTGAATTTCAAGTTGAAATTAGATAATCAACTAAATGTTAGCCTATTCATTGGAATTGTCAATTAATCATTATCATTATAATCATTATGATGATGCAGATAATTTCATCAATTTAATTTTCTCTTGTTTATCAGAATTCTGAGTCTGTGTGTGAGAGAGAGCGAGGGAGAGGGAGAGCTAAAAGTCAATCTGATGAAGAAAAAAATAAATCACCAAGTTAATTAATTCTAACTGGTCGTAAGCAATTTACATAATCAAGTGAATTTTTTTCTTCTCTTGTTCTTGATTCAGTGCTACAGGGAAGTCTTTCAACCATGGGTGACATGGGGAGTGGAACTGAGGATGGGAGTGGAATGAGAGAGAGAGAGAGAGAGAGAGAGAGAGTTAGGTGATTACTATTAGAACAACATTAGTGTTTTTGGAAAGATTAGTTTTTTCTTCTTCTTCTTCTTTTCTTTTACTATTTTCTTTCTTCCATTTTATCCTAACTGGACATTCCTTGTGCTTGGACATTCGGTAATTTTCTGGTAAATTCTGTAGTTTAATTTACTTTCTTTATTCAAGTTTCTGGTTCATCATCAACATGAAAGTGATAAATAAAATGAGAATTCAAATTGAATGGTGAATGTTTGGTCATCCATGAGATGAGATAATAGATGATGTCCAGTTTATATTTTCAACTCAACTGATTGTGATAATTATTGTTAATGGTCAAGGCGCTCGGTCAGTTTATATTTGGATGGATAGGTGACAAGTTTATTAATTAATTAACAGCAATAAAGGTCCATCAAACAATGGACCATTAATATAATAAAATTAATCTTCGATGAAAGAAAAACAAAATTAGAAAACTTGTGATTCTTGTCCCCATGTTAATCAGATTTATCACCAAAAGTTCAGTTCCATGTATGAATTTTCCTCTTCTTCTTCCTAATTAACATGGTAAATAATTGGAAGGGGGAATCGGTTAATTGTAATAATCAAATTCGCAGGACAAACCAAGGTAATTATCTCATTGGTGATGACATTTCAAACAGCATCATGATAATTACAATTCAGTTAATCAGAATATGAATTCTGATAAATAAGATAACACATTTGATTAGATAATTTTGTTTTGTTTCTTATTTTTGTTTTGTTTTTTTTTTCATTCTTCATGATAACAATTAGAGCGATAGTTTTGTTGTATTATAGCCTGAGGCGAATTAACTTTAATCACTGAGAATCGATCAAGAATCATCAGGGTGGTGGTTAAGGGTAAAGGTGGGTTACATGGAGGAGGATGAGGGTAGAGGTTCGGGTGGGAAGTGGGTAGAGAAATGAAATTTACCTTGAAGCAAATTTAACCAGAAACCAATGATTGCAATGATTATGTATGAACACAGGAAACCAGGAAGTTAATTTACTCAGAGAGGAAAAATATTGAAATAACTGATGATTATTATTATTATTTCTGTATAAATATAAAAAGGAATCTGATTTAATCATGATTGTAAGAAATTAACTTGGAAAATATCGTAAATATTAATGAAAAGAAAAATAAACTTTCAATTCTGTTGACTGTTGATTCCGAGTTGTTGTTGTTGTTGTTGTTGTTCAATAGCAACAGTTTGAATGTTAATTGACAATTCCCATTGATTAAGTTGATTAATATCAAATTGGAAAGTTTAATTCTCATATTGATTATCATTACTATTGATTAGTAAATTGTTGTTATATTTTTCCATGGGTTGTTTATTAGCTTCGAGCTTGAATTGTACCCGCATCACTTATTATTATTATCGTCAATGGTTTGATGTTTTCATTGACGATTGAATTATTTCAACATGATTTCATCCTGATATTGATTATCTCCATCATGGTGATCAACAACATTACTAATGTTTTCGTGAAAAAAGATGATCTCTCTCTCTCTCTCTCTCTCTCTCTCTCTCTCTCTCTTCAGAACTGATGGCAATAATCATCATGATAACAATCTTTAACTTGCAACTAAAATAATAGTAATTCATGATGGTAAATGAAAGAGAAGACAAAAGTTCATGTGAAAAAAAGGCTCAGAACTTTTGAGATGGAATTGAAGAGAATCCCTGAATTCAGTAGAGCATAAAACCTCCTAATCGTGTTCATTGAGCCTCTCTCTTCAGATTCAGTTTCTCTTTGGAACTTTTTCTTCTTCTTTTTTCGTGAGATTTCATGATATTATTTCTTTTACTCTATCAAATCGAAGACAAAAATTATATATTGTTTTGGTTCCGTTGTTGGTCTACATTTAATATGTAATTGAAATAATAAACTCGACGAGAAGCTTAACTACTTTGCCATAATGGTGATCATGATCATCATCATGTTGAAGATAATAATTTCAACTAAAACTGAGGGAGAAAAAAAGATTTCAGCTGAAGCCTCTTGATGAAACCATTTAATTCCTATTCAGTCCAATTTCTATCAATATATATAACAAAAACTCAGAGAACATGAACTTTTCCTTTATGATGGAAGAAAAAAATTCTTTTTCTTTCTAATAACAACAAAAAAGATAAAGATATTGAGTGTTATCATTATCAGTTCCATTCATAGACAAACACACACTCAGAACTCAGAACTGCTCGATCAATGAATAGATAAATGAATGTAAGTCAATAATAA